CTCTGTACCTCAGCTTTTCAGTGTTTGTGTTATATCTCTTTTGTTCTAGTTGTAAAACTTCCACTCAGCCAGCTTTCCCGTGGTTCTGAGTGATAGACGTTTTGTCTTTTAGTTGTAGTTTTGAAATTGTTGTGCGAGGCGGCAGTTTAGTTATTTACCTTTGCCACCATCTTGCTTTCTCCTCTTATTACATAATTTTTTATGGGTCATAATTTTTAAAAAATATATATTTTATTGATTTTGTACAGAGAGGAAGGGAGAGAGATAGAGTTAAAAACATCAATGAGAGAGAGTCATCAATCAGCTGCCTCTTGCACACCCCCTACTGGGGATATGCCTGCAACCAAGATACATGCCCTTGACCGGAATCGAACCCGGGACCTTTCAGTCCCCAAGCCGACGCTCTTATCCATTGAGCCAAACCGGTTTTGGCTGGGTCATAATTTTTAATATTACTCAACTTGCTGGAAGTTAAGAGACAAGAGCAAGAGTGGATCACACACTTGGCAACTTTAAAACATTCTCTTACTTTACAGCTTGGAGTTTGGGCCTGCGCAGCTTTTATTCAGGGGAAGGAGCACCAGTGGATGCTAAGCTTTAGGTGACACTCAGCTGCTTTTTCTGCAGCGTTAGAGGTGCACTCGTGGGTCATCTGTAGACTCTTCCTGAAGGAGGAGGGGAAGGGGAGGCTGAACCAAGAAAGATCAGGTGGTGAAACAGAAGGATGAGTTCTGATGACTCCCTAATCTAAAAGCTGTATCTTGGATACAAAGTAATTTTTAATGAACATATTTTATCTAAAATATGTTTATCTTTTTTCTTGTTAAAATAATTTGGTTTTTAAAATTTGAGAATGAGTCAGTTAATGATTATTCATGAGACTGGCTAGATGAAATAATGCATATTAGAAAGCATTGAATGAAGGTATTTCTGGAAAACAAAAATAGTACCATTCTCTAGCGACTTAACATGATCTATCTAATTGTTAGATATCCCACTATAAAATGATACCTCAATTAACAAATTTTCAGAGACAAAGCTCTTTTAGAGAGCCTTGTGTTATCACTTTTGTTGTAGTTATTCAACTGAAAATATGGTGCATTTCTTTTCAACCTAACTAGATTCTATTCTCCTTGAGGCCAGGAACCTTATATTTTTATTTCATTTTTCTCTAGTAAGTTCTAATTCCATCTTGAAATTAGTTCAGCAAAGCCCTGGACAAGTAGCTTAGTTGGTTAGAGCATCATCCTGATATGCCAAGGTTGCGGGTTTCTCTTCCTCTCGTTATATCTCTCAAAACAGGTTTTTTTTTTTAAATATATATATTTTATTGATTTTTTACAGAGAGGAAGAGAGAGGGAAGGAAGAGAGAGGGATAGAGAGTTAGAAACATCGATAAGAGAGAAACATCGATCAGCTGCCTCCTGCACACCCTCCACTGTGGATGTGCCCGCAACCAAGGTACATGCCCTTGACCAGAATCGAACCTGGGACCCTTGAGTTCGCAGGCTGACGCTCTATCCACTGAGCCGAACTGGTCAGGGCTCAAAACAGTTTTTAAAAATTAGTTCAATAAATATTCTGTTTAATAAATTTTGAATGAATGTGTCATTCCAATATTCTTGTTCATGTAAAGTGCTTAGAACATGATCTGGCACATAATAAGCACTAACAAATATCTACTGCTATTATTATTACCTGAAATCAGCATAGTGCTTTCTAAATGTTCATATCACTCTTTCCTTTGCTGATTTTTATTTCCTTTTCTTTTAGTTTTATTTTTTATTAAATTTATTGGGATGACATTGGTAATAAAATCATATAGGTTTGAAGTGTACGTTTCTATGATACGTGAACTGTATATTATATTGTATTATTTGTATCCTGAGAATCAAAGACTTGTGGAATCTTAGAACTGGAAAATATTTAAGGTCATCTGATAAAATCACTTTATTCTGGTAGATCACTGGGCTTGAGCAGATTCAATGCTCTCTGGTTCCTCTCACTATAATAGTGGTCCTCAAACAAGGGGGCTATAGATAGCCCCGATGTAAAGAATTACTTGGTCCATAACATCCATAGTGCTAAAGGTTGAGAAATCTTATACTGTAGGTATGTCTCTGCTATGTATTCTCTTTATTTATATTTGCCATGCTTTGAGAGGAAAATTTAAATAGTTAAAATATTCAGGAAAAATAAGTTTTGCAGAACGATTTTTCTCATGTACATACTCTTTAAAGTTGTTTGGGAGAAATTATAGGAATTATTTGGAGAGAGCTGTTACAAAGTTAACAGAGGTTTATTGAATGCCTTAGCAATAGTAGATGCTTCTGTTAAACAAAAAATTTTAACTTTAAAGAGACTGAGTGTGTGTGTGTGTGTGTGTGTGTGTGTGTGTGTGTGTTTTAAAGAAAGTTTTTATTGGGCCACTGCTAGCAAAAGAAGATGCATGGAGTCTAAACCACCTGCAGCATCACTAACGAGAAAAGACAAACATGTCCTTCGTGGCTTTTTTTTTTTTTTTTTTTTTTTAGTATATTTTATTGATTTTCCACAGAGAGGAAGAGAGAGGGATAGAAAGCTAGAAACGTCGATGAGAGGGAAACATCAAGCAGCTGCCTCCTGCACATCCCCTACTGGGGATGTGCTCGCAACCAATGTTGACCAGAATCGAACCTGACACCCTTCAGTCCACAGACTGACGCTGTATCCACTGAGTCAAACCAGTTTTGGCCTTCATGGCTTTTTTATACATCAAGTAGGGGGAGAAAGATGTAAGCTGTTCTAAAATAATTTACATTAGCTGTAGACAGAGGGATGGGAGACTAGTTCTGGGAGGGCCAGCAGTAAGTACAGTTCCTGTGTAAGCAAGAAGCAGACTCCTGGGGTTCCACTGCACCTGGCTGTGCTACCTTTCAGAGAGTCTCAGAAATAGCCGCCTGGAAGTTAGTTTAATCATCCCAACATACAGAAGAAAAAAGAAAAGAAGAAAATAAAAAACCCACAAAAAAACAATTTCAGCATCTTTGAAGAGTGTAAGTAGTCTTTTGTTGGTTTTGACCCTGCTGTTGTTAGCTGATGAACCCTTTGGTGTCTCTTTTTAATTTAGAACATCTCGGGGGTTTTTCTTGTCATTTCATGGCTACCTCTTTTAGCTTTATATATAAAGTGTTCCCTGATGACTGACAGGGCAGAAACGGGGGTTAAATGAAAGAAGAAGCTGAAGGGGGAGAAAGGAACAGAATGGCAGTCCCCATTCTGCCTTTCTCTGTAGCTGCTTTGCTCTTTCATTCTTTATCTCTCTGCCCCATTCCCAAGGCTAGAGGTAAATACAGTGATTACTGCTGCTGAATGAACATTGTCAGGAACTAAGGCCTGTGGAGAGGTCAATACAATTTCTCTTCTAGCAAGAGATACCAGAGCTGTGATCCACTTTTAAAAGTTGCCTGAAAAAAAGTGAAAATATCCCAGTCTGCAGTTTGGAAGAAAGTCCCAGGTGTATAGCCTGCTTTTTCATGAGTTTGCAGATCATCTTTTTCTTTCCCCTCATAAGGTCTGTTCTTCTCTCAGTCACACGATGATGTCTTGACCCAAAAGCCATTTTTTATCCAGTGGTTCTTTTCTGAATGAGTAGGATCTTCAAGGCTCAAGGTCACATTGAACTTTAGCCCCAATTCCAGTGTAACTTAGGTGTTTATGCAAGTAAATACACGCGACTAACTTAAATTTTATTTATCTCTAATCTCTCCTGCAACATATTTAGCAAGAAAAGATTAAGGACTAATTGACATTATGCTAACGTTTCCGCATGTGTTTATAGTATATTTAAGGTCTTTCTTTGACTAGTCAATAAAATGTAATATTTCTAGCTTTTCTCTAATTAGATTGATGAGATTTTTAAACATTTCTTTTTTCAATTGGGCCTAGTAAAATTTCCTATATGACCTTTCAGAAACAAGACAGAATTCCTTTGCAGAAACATATCCTGAATACCACATTAAACTGTAACCCCCCTTGAGGAGAGAGTCAGCGTTGTCGAATGTTCTGTAAGGCAGTCAGGTCATTGGTGCTTAGAACCCATGCAATGATCAGCAATACCCTGAAGAAAAGGAATTAGAACCTTAAATGTCCTTGATTATTGATTGGATAAGAAAAGAGTAAAAAAAAAAATGAATTTTAATGGACATGAATATAGATTAAATCAAAGAAACCTGTGCAGACACAAGTCAGGATTCATTTCAGGATGGCACAAAATACATATCTGGGATTATGACTGACTGAAAATGTAATGAGAGTTAAATATCTTAAATGCAGAATGAGTATTTAAAGCTAATCTGGCGCTGCAACTGCCATTGTTACTAGTGGCTGTCATTGTGTACTTAGCATGAGCCAACACTGCTCTAAATCCTTTACGTGTGACGAAAGAAAGCACAGGTAAGCTTTCCTCCCCTAAATCAACTGCACACCCCAAGGGGGCCCTCCGACCAGCTCCGGTGCCAGGCTCCTTTCAGCTGCACCTGTGGTAACGTTTTTGCCTCAGATAAAATTCCCGTACCGGTGTTTGCTGAGCCTTGAGAGAACAAGAGCTTTTATTGAGGCTAGGAATAAGTATTTATTAATGTTGCAAATAGAACAGGTAGAAGCCTTTTTAAAATTTGAACCAAAAACAATTAAATTTGACTTGTATTTAAAGTTGTTTTAACAACATCTATTGGAAATGTGTACTTATGGATAGGAAAAAGTTGTAAAAATTCTACTTTTGGTAGGAAAATGTAACATCATTTCAATATATGATTTTCTGATTTGAAGCCATGAATTGAGTTTAGAGAACTGGAAGTGTATTTTCATGCACTTAGATGAAATTGTCAACATGCTCATGTCTTCGGAAGAGATTTTTTAAAACCTTTTTTGTGCTGTAAAACAGCTAGTAAGATGATTTTGATAATGCAGTGTGAGCAAGAATCATGTGTAAAAATAACAAAATTGTTTTATGCTTTTAGATGTGTGGTTTTTAACAACAGAGGAATGGCAGGCGAGAATCTCTTGGTAAGTAAATTTAAACTAATAACAGCTTAATTTTTAAAAGAATCATTTCTAGTTTTATAATGAAAAGCATAACTCATAAGCAATACAAGTTTATTGTGGAAAATACAGATAAGCAAAAAGAAAATGAAATTTGCAAGATCTATAATTTATACAACCAAGGGAATCCCCTTGGTCTATGTTCATTCAGATCTTATATTAAATGGTAAATATGTAATATATTTTTGTTTTTATAAAAAGTAATGTTTTATTTTATCACAATGTTTGCACTTAGTGTATTTTAACATCAATAGATATTTATCTATATAATTTTTAATGCAAAAACATGTTTTCTTTAAAAATTAACTAGAGCCGAACCGGTTTGGCTCAATGGATAGAGCATCGGCTTGGGGTCGGAAGGGACCCGGGTTTGATTCCGGTCAGGGGCATGTACCTTGGTTGTGGGCATATCCCCAGTGGGGGGTGTGCAAGAGGCAGCTGATCTATGACTCTCTCTCATTGATGTTTCTAGCTCTCTATCTCTCTCTCTTCCTCTCTGTACAAAATCAATAAAATATATTTTAAAATAAATAAATAAATAAAAAATAAAAATTAACTAGAACAGTCCTAGCTGGTTCAGCTCAGTGGATAGCACATCAGCCTGTGGACCAAAGGGTCCTAGATTCTATTTCAGTCAAGAGCATGTACCTGTTGAAGGCTCCTCCCCGACCTGGGCTCTGGTCGGGGCTCCTGCAGAAGGCAACCAATCCATGTGTTTCTCTCACGTCGATGTTTCTCTGTCTTTCCCTCTCTCTTCCACTCAATGTAAAAAATCAATGGAAAAATATCCTCAGGTGAGGATTAAAAAAACAAAAACAAAAATTTAACTAGTATTTAACAAATTAACCTGCACAGTGACATTTTTTCCCCTTAAGAATTCTACTTTTTCATGAAAGATTGACCAAGTTATATGCCTATATGCCCATCAAAGTTTACATAAAGAAAATTTTATTTTAAATCTACTTTTTTTTTCTGACCCCTAAAGTTGTGTTGTTGTTGTTGTTTTTTGTTTGTTTTTTTTATGATAGAAGTTTTTTCATCTCCTGGGAAATCATCACTCTATTTGATGTTAAGCCTGTGAGTTTATACTCACTGAAATTTTCTGAAAGCTTTTCAGCTACTAGTTCCTCACCACTTCAACAGATCAAAGACAATCCTATCAGAATGGAAAGAAACATTATTTTGAGTCATCGATAGAGCATGTTATTACGTCTATAAATTAGTCATGCTGAAGATACAATCATGTCATTAATGCCAGTACTTTAAGAGAACACAGGGAAAGAAGAGCCCTTTTCCTTTGTTTTAAAGTGACTCGGGCCTTGGAGGGAATCAAGATCAATATGTTTTTAAAAGTAAAGTTATAAAGTGTTTGTGATCTTATTAAAGTGCCCCATAAGATTTTGATGTGAAGGTTCACATTTCCTTATTTATCCAGCCTTTCAGAAATCTTATAGACAAATGGTGGATGCTCTAAAGGGGAAGATTTAAATGTGTCACTGTGGCCCTGGACTAAACAAGTTGTTGTTTATTTGTTTGTTTTTAAGAGTGCAGTACTATTTATTTAATCCTCACCTGAGGACAGATTCATTGATTTTCAGAGAAAGGGATAGGAGGGAGAGAGAGACAGAGACTGATATGAGAGAGAGATCCATAGGTTGACTCTCCCCTACACTCCCCCACAAGGGATTGAACCCACAACCTAGGTAGGTGCTCCTGACTGGAATCCATCCCTCGACCTTCTGGTGTATAGGATGATGTTCCAACCAACTGAGTCACACCAGCCAGGGCACAAATTGTTTTTGAGCAGCTTTTGATTTGCTGTGTGCCTTTCTTTCTTTCTTTCTTTCTTTCTTTCTTTCTTTCTTTCTTTCTTTCTTTCTTTCTTTCTTTCTTTCTTTCTTTCTTTCTTTCTTCCTTCCTTCCTTCCTTCCTTCCTTCCTTCCTTCCTTCCTTCCTTCCTTCCTTCCTCTCTTTCTTTCTTTCTTTCTTTCTTTCTTTCTTTCTTTCTTTCTTTCTTTCTTTCTTTCTTTCTTTCTTTCTTTCTTTCTTTTTTTCTTTCTTTCTTTCTTTCTTTTTTAATGCTTGTGAGGGATGAGGATATTTTTCCACTGATTTCTAGAGAGAGAATGGGAGGCATGGGGAAGGGGAGAGAGAGAGAAGAGAGCCAAATATCAATGTGAGAGAGACACATCAATTGGTTGCCTCCCACACTTGTCTCAATTGGGACCCAGGTTGGAACCTGCAACCTAGGCATGTGCCCTTGACTGGGAATTGAACCTGAGACCCTCAGGTGCACAGGCTGTCCGCTCTAGCCCCTGAGCACAGTGGCCAGAGCTGTGTGTCTATCTAGGTGTTTCAAGGATACAAAGATGGGAAGACATGAGCTGAGATTCTCAAGGAAATCACGTGCTACAAAGTAAACTCCATTAGGTCCCATAAAGTGAGGGAGAAAGATCTGTTCATTCAGCCGAACCGTGTTATATGCCTATTAAATCAGGCACTGTAGGATGAGTAGTGTACATATTATTAGACACAACCCTAAGCCATAATAGCTTTAACTTAAGTTACAAGAGAGTGTCAGACACATAAAAATATGCACAGTACAGTGCTAAGTGCAACTGTGAGAAGATCTATTAAGGCTACGGATCATAAAGGAATGGAGTAGCTAACTGCCTGGGGGAGGTGAAAGAACACTGTAGTGGAGGTAAATTTGAGTTGGATCTTGAAGGCTATGGTATTGAGCAAGGAGAGGGAAAGAGAAACCTTCTCAGCACAAAGATCAAGGTATTAAAGAACATGGCCTCTATCCACCCACTCGTCATGGCTCAGTGGTTGAGCGCCAACCAGGAGGTCACAGTCTGATTCCCAGTCAGGGCACATGCCCTGGTTGTGGGCTTGATCCCCAGTAGGAAGAATGCAGAGGCAGTCAAGCAATGATTCTCTCTCATCATTGGTGTTTCTATCTCTCTCTCCTTCTCCCTTCCTTTCTGAAATCAATAAAAATATATTTGGGCCCTAGCTGGTTTTGCTCAGTGGATAGAGTGTTAGCTTGTGGACCATCAAGTCCCAGGTTCGATTCTAATCAAGAGTACGTACTTTGGTCCCAGGTTCAATTCTAATCAAGAGTACTCCCTAGCTCGGGTCCTGGTTGGGGCTGCAGGAGGCAACTAATCGATGTGTTTCTCTCACATCCATATTGCTCTCTGTCTTTTCCTCTCCCTTCTACTCTCTCTAAAAATCAATGGAAAAATATCCTCCGGTGAAGATTGTTAAAATAAATAAATAATAAATTAATTTTTTTAAAAACACTAAAATTAATCTTTAAACATATATATATATATATATATATATATATATATATACACACATTTGGAAAAGATATGAAGAGCATGGACTAGCAAATACTTGTGGAGGGGCCCAGGCAGTGATTGAGCATCAACCTATGAACCAGGAGGTCAACAGTTCAATTCCTGGTCAGAGCACATGTCTGGGTTGCAGGCTTGGTCCCCAGGTGGGGCATGCAGGAGGCAGCCAATCAATGATTCTCTCATCATTGATGTTTCTATCTATCTCTTCCTTTTCCTTCCTCTCTGAAATCAATAAAAAATATTTTTGGGGAAAAAAATACTTGTGGAGGGATAATGATGATAATTTTGTCTAATATTTATTGAGGACTTAGAATATATCAGTTATGTTTTTTCATGCTTAATAATCAGCAATAGAAACAACTCAATGATTTAGGTAAGTATAGTCACCATCATCCCCATTTTCCAGAGGAATAAAATGAGACATAAATATGTTAAGAACTTGCCCTAGCCAAGGAATTCAGAGCCAGGATTCAGACCCTGGCTCCAGGTGGCCGGGAGCTGGTGCCAGGGCTTTGGCCGGTGAGGAGAAGGCGTGTGTGTGTGTGCGTGTGTGTGTGTGTGCGTGTGTGTGTGTGTGTGTGTGTGTGTGTGTGTGTGTGTGTGTCTTCCCAGCCTCCCTCACCCAGGCCCACATGCCCCGGCTGGCCGGAGCCCCTCGTCCCCATCTGGGAAAGAGCCAGGAGAAGGGGGGACCCCATGAGGCCACCTCTGAGCTAAAATGTCCATTTTCTTCATTATTATTTTAAAAATATATGTTTGTATTGATGTCAGAGAGGAAGGGAGAGGGAGAGAGAGAGAAACATCGTTGATGAGAGAGAATCATGGATCGGCTGCCTCCTGTACGCCCCACCCTGGGGATCGAGCCTGCAACCCGGGCCTGTGCCTTGACCGGGACTCGAACCCTGACCTCCTTGTTCCTAGGTCACGCTCAACCACTGAGCCACATCGGCCAGACGGTAGTCTGACTATGTGCTTATGTTCTTCACCATTATGCTATACTCTCTTCTCATTATTCAGGAAGTGATGGGAATTCTTCTAGGATCAAATTTTGAAGTCTCATGTGTAGTATCCTCAGGAACGTAGTATTGAACCATAGACATTAAAAACACACACACAGCTGAAACCGGTTTGGTTCAGTGGATAGAGCGTTGGCCTGTGGACTGAAGGGTTCTGGGTTCGATTCCGGTCAAGGGCATGTACCTTGGTTGCGGGCAGATCCCCAGTAGGGGGTGTGCTGGAGGCAGCTGATTGATGATTCTCTCATTGATGTTTCTAATTCTCTATCTCTTTCTCTTCCTCTCTGTAAAAAATCAATAAAATTTATTAAACACACACACACACACAAGAAAACACACACACACCACACACATGTTTTTTAGCCCTGGCAGGTTTCTTAGTGGTTAGAGCACTGGCCCTCACACCAACGAGTAGCAGATTTGATTCCCAGTCAAGGGCACGTGCCTGAGTTTCAGGTTCAATCCCCAACCTCAAGCCTCTCTCTCTCTTTCTCTCTGTTTTTCAATATTTTTGCTTTATTGGGATATAATTGACATATGAAATAATTTGATCATGATCATGTTTTAGAAGGAGAACTTAGGGCAGTGTGTGAAAAAAAAAAAGATGGAGGGGTAGGGATTTGGAGGCTGGGAGGCCAGTAAAAAAAAATCAGTTACTATAGACCTACCCATAGTTTGAAAACAGAGGTAGGAGGTAGGAAGAAGAGAGGACAAAAATGAGGGATATTCATGTAATAAAAAGATTATGTGGGAGTCAGGATTCACATTTCTAGGTTGGTGAACTGGCAAAAGGCATGGATATTTGCTGAAATAGGACATTTAGGAAGATTTATGAGGTTTAGATATAATAATAAATTCCGTTTTAGATGTTTGTGGTGCTTTTAGATCATCTAGGTCAGTCGTCGGCAAACTCATTAGCCAACAGAGCCAAATATCAACAGTACAACGATTGAAATTTCTTTTGAGAGCCAAATATTTTAAACTTAAACTTCTTTTTTAAAAAAATATATTTTATTGATTTTTGACAGAGAGGAAGGGAGAGAGAGATAGTTAGAAACATCGATGAGAGAGAAACATTGATCAGCTGCCTCCTGCACACCCCTATTGGGGATATGCCTGAAGCCAAGGTACATGCCCTTGACCAGAATCAAACCTGGGTTCGATTAAGAGACTTAATTAATTATAACTTAATATATACTTCTTGTACCCTAATGCATCACATTATTGATTTTTAGAACTAGCTTTGAGAGTTAGGTCACTTGGTAACCCTTCTTCCTTCCGCCTTAGAATTATGAACAATTACTGTTTCAGACTAGAGGAACCCTGTGTTTATTTACACCTTGCCTTGAATCCAGAAAAGAATTCAATGTAGTCCGACTCAGAGTAAGACCTTAGCTTAGGCATAAAAAAGAACAAAAGATGAATCAGCAAGATCAAACAGGAAGGAACTGTAACAGAAATGAACCCAAAAGAGCTAGAAAAGGTGAAATAGAATTTAGAGTAAGCATTTCTCCTAAGAGTGGAAGACATGCAAAAGAAAAAGGTTGGCTGATATAGGTTGGTGATATACTAAGAATTTATAGGGATTACCATAGCTTCTGCAAAGCAGTCAGGTAGAAATTTTGTCCTCATTTCTGATTAGTCAGGGCGATGGATGAGGAAAAGCCAAAGCCTTGCTCACGAGGAAACGAGAGGCCTGCACTTTGGTCCCCCGGGGGCTGTTAGCCGTAGGAGACAGGGAGTTCTCGTCTCAGTAGACTGAGCCTCAGCTATCCCTGCAGGACTCTTGGAGTCCTTGGAGTAGTTCGTACCTTTTCTTGCTCTCTGAAAGACAGGTAGTTCTTGGTGTTCAAGATTAGGAATCCAGAAATGTTAGACTCCCTAATGTTAATGATTATTTTGTGAACTCTCATAGTTCCCACTTACTTTAGGAATGATCATTTATTTACAAAGGATTCAGCCACTAAGATTTTCTGATCCTAATAATTTTTCATAGATAGTTTTCCTTGTGCCCTAACTCTGTGTGTGGCCATGTGTACATGTGTATGCATGTGTACATACATGTGCACACATACTTCACTTAAAGCTTGCAAAACAAGGGTACATTTTGGTGATTAAGTAATTGAGAAATTTTAAAGCTATACAGTGTTTTATTTCTGCTGACGTAGTGTCTTCTCCTTAACCATACCCTAGACTCTCAGTATTTCACACTCTCTGCATCTCTTCATCTTTCCTTATTCTCTAAGTCAAGCATGTCCAACTCAAAGGCTAACATGGGCCAAATAAACAAGGTTTAAGTTTATATGGACTACAAAAAAACAAAAGCTTCAATTTTCATAGAAACGTAGGTTTATTTTTATAGAGATATGCTGAATACACAGGGCTGAAATACATGAGCAATCATTAACATAAAATAATAGAACATTTTAATGAAAATTAATATTTTTTCTTGAACATTAACTTATCAGACACTGAATAATTGCAGAAATTAATAAGTGTAATGTAAGTAAACCTATTTTTCTTATTCTTTGAAAGCAAAATATTTCCTGTTGTGCACACCAAACAAGTTAGTCCAAGACTAATGACGTGGCAACTGGCTGCAAAATTTTCACTGCTGGTATTAGTGGAGAGAAATGGTATGCGTAAGGGAAATGATTGCAACACAATTATAGTAATCAGTCATTACCGAACATTGTAGTTCGTTACTAGTAATTATGTATAATATTGTAAAAGATAAGTTATGAAATTTCTATTAAAACATTTCTTACCTACCGTTATATTGGCTGGGTCACAAAAATACTCGTTGTGATCTGTAAGTTTGACATGCTTGCTCTAAGTACTCATCTGAGCTACTCACTCCATCACCTCCTCCTTCCTCTTCACACATCCTTCTCTACTACTCCTTTCTTTTCTTCCCTTCCCTCTCACTGCCCCGCCCCAGAAGTCTCTTTTGGAAATCTCTATAGATTACAGATTAACCCATCTTGTTTTTGGATTGCTAGATAGTGCTAATTAGAATCTTCAGAGCAAGAACATGTTCTTTAACTCCCCTTCTATCATTAATTTTTTAAAAATGAGCTTAATATTTCAACTTACCTAGACTGTTTGTCAACTAGAAAATGAGAGGTTTTTTTTTTTTTTTTAATAAATATCTTTAGGGTTCTTGATATCTCAGATTCTATTTAGAAATATAATACTCATATTAAGGAATATAGATTGTGTGTGTGTGTGTGTGAAGCTATATGAGAACTTTGGTTGACATTTATGCATTGTTTGTTTATGTAAATCTGATTTCCTATTTCATTGTGAGTTTAGGCAGAAAAGGTATCATCTAAAATAAAATTGTTCTTGTGTAAAAATTAAAAATAATTTTAGCCCTGATGGGCTTGACTCAATGGATAGAGTGTTGGCCTGCGGACTGAAGAGTCCCAAGTTTGATTCCAGTCAAGGGCATGTACCTTGGTTGCAGGTACATCCCCAGTAGGGGGTGTGCAGGAGGCAGCTGATCAATGTTTCTCTCTCATTGATGTTTCTAACTCTCTATCTCTCTAGGCCCTTCCTCTCTGTAAAAAATCAATAAAATATATTTTAAAAATAATTTTAATTTTTAACTGTGCAGTATGAAAAGACTCACAAGTAATAAAAATTCCAAGTAAGGATGATTTTTTTCACCTGATTACTTGTGACAAATTCTGCAGTCACTGTGAATAAGCATGGTAGTAGATATTGTCCTATTTAGATTTTACAGTGAATTTGTATCACTCAAATGCATTTAATTACAGAGTATTTTTTAAATTATCTCAGCTTAGTCAGCCGTTCAGGTGTTACAGGATTTATTTTACCTTTCTAAACTCAATTTCCTTTTTATAAAATAAATGTGATAATAAGATCACCTTCATGGTTTTGCCATTATAAATGCTGTCAGGTTAACATTTATCTTTTGGAAAATTACATATTTAAAGATCTCAAAAAGATGTCAGTGAGCAGTAGGTAGTGTCTTAATATTGGGTTTTATCAGGAGGATCGCTGTAATTTTCTTAGACTACTCATTAGTGATTGAATAATGGATATTGTGATCGTGGTTTATTGTAATCATGGTTTATGGAATACTGTAATCAGGGTGGTGCAGAGAGCTGATTTCAGTACTTTTAAAAATATATATTTATTTATTTTTTACAGAGAGGAAGAGAGAGAGATAGAAAGTGAGAAACATCGATGAGAGAGAAACACTGATCAACTGCCTCTTGCACACCCCCTACTGGGGATGTACCTGCAACCAAGGTACATGCCCTTGACTGGAATTGAACCTGGGACCTTTCAGTCTGCAGGCCAATGCTCTCTCCACTGAGCCAAACCGGTTTCGGCTGGTTTCAGTTTTTTTTTTTTAAATATATTTTATTGATTTTCCACAGAGAGGAAGGGAGAGAGAGCTAAAAACGTCGATGAGAAAGAAACATCGACCAACTGCCTCCTGCACACCCCCCACTGGGGATGTGCCCACAATCAATGTACATGCCTTGACCGGAATCGAACCTGGGACCCTTCAGTCCCCAGACCGATGCTCTATCCACTGAGCCAAACCGGTTTTGGCTGGTTTCAGTATTTTTATTAGAATAATGTTACCAGATTCCTTGTTATTAAATTTTATTTTACATAAACTTTATTCATACACACATTTACACATATTCCACAGACAGGATTGCCCTTTGCTCACACATCTCAAACAATGCATCTGTGAAACTTTTCAACTAGAAACAGAGCCTTCATTGAAGAAGTTCACATGAAAACCATTTATTTAAATACATTATGTATGGAAGCATAATCAGCTTTACATATTTTACCATTTTAAGTGTCTGTTTCATTGGGGTGCAGCTGGGGCTTTTATTATAAAATCAAATGTTTAATTAATAGATCAGACTGGATATTGCTTTATCTAGAGTGAAGGCAGTACCAGAAAACCACACTCCTTCATTGGTAGACAGCACTCAGGATAGAGAAAACAGTATTCCGGTTAGAAATGAGCCACAAACTTAAATTTTTATGGCATTATTAGAAAGCCCTTTTTGTTTGTTTCTTTTTAAACAAAGAATTACTTTGTCAGGCATAAGGGGGTTTTTTTGTGGTTTTTTTTTTTTTTTTTCCTATAAGAAGATGTAATCCTCCACTTTTTCTTCATGAATTTATTGTTCTTGCTTAGTCTGAGACACATCTGAGTAGGGAACTGTGTTTCTGTTTAATTTATGGTATTTAATTTAAGGTCTTCCATTTCTATCAAGCCTTCCTCGCCCATCAAAGTCTTTTTGTTAGTGCCAACTTGAATAGCATTCATGTGTGTATTGAATAACATATATATGTGTATTGCAAGATAAGGAAATTATAAATTTTTATTATTCATAATATGTGCAAACAAAGGTTATTTCCTCATATTTATGACTTCCTGCTCTTTTTTTTTTTTTTACATTTCTGCATTATACAAATCATGAACCTCACATTTTAAATGCTGTGCTTTGCCTGTCACTGCTTACAGACGCCAAGGACGTACTGTTGCGCTAACACGGAAGATCTGGAGACAGTTATTCACCACGTGCACAGTCTGTACCCGTCTGCTCCTTTCCTGGCAGCAGGGGTTTCAATGGGAGGGTAAGGTTTTTCCTTTCTAACATGTTTGAGAGAAGTGGTCTCACCAACTGCCTCTCCCAGAGAGGACCATTAGCTACATAGACATTTTAGAGTAAATGTTTTGTTAATTTTATCTTATTTTACCACATGATTGAATGAATGATTGAAGGAATTCGTTCAGGTGGATTTTAATATTTTCCTTGATTACTGGTCTCTGCAGTGAAAAGGATACAAGCGCTTACTTGGGGTACTGGGGTCTTGTGAGCATGAAGGCTCGTCAGGTTCCCTGATGTACTCCTGGCTGGCCCTGCAACTGTTTTTCGGAACCACTCAGGAAGCTGAACTTGTAGCATGACTTTTAGCACTCCAGTCGTAAGATAAACACTTACTGCTCCTCCAACGGAAGAGGCCTCCAAAGACTCTTTCCTCAGGTGTGGTTTGGTTTGTTTGGCTTGGTTTGGTTGGTTGTTTGGTTTGGTTTGGTTGTCGGGCAAATGACCTATTCTGGAATGCTCTCCTAGAAACTGTAAAGTGTTGTTGTTAACTCCCTATTCCAGCTGATTTTTAAACCTTATGAATATGATTATAACTTGTTCTGCTTGGAATTACTTTGGGGCTCTCTTTTTGGAACTTTTAGGCTATGTATTTATTATAGGTAGGTTCATTTCTGCTAGCAATATTTATATTTTTTGTTCTAGGGATACTGGACTTAATAAAATCCAAAATTTTTATTATCTGGCATTTTAGATTTCCTAAACAATTGCCCAAAGCTACTCTTTAAAATCAAGAAACACGTGAGATATAAAATGTCTTGATTTTATAATTGATTTATCTGTCATTTCAATTCACAGATTGTCTAAAGAGCATATTTATTTGAAAATGACAGGCTTTTTACAAATGATAGACTCTGAAAAATAGGCATTACCCACCTTTTTAGACTCTGATAAACATAAATTAAGAGGAAAAGAGTATGTTTCTTACATTAGCATGGGAGGTCTGACTTGACCTACTAAAGGAAAAAATCTGAATCGATGCAGAAAACCCAGCAAAATCTCTGAATTGTGCTTCATAGGCAGTTTTTCACTTTTGTTTCTTCTGCACCAAAATGTGAGCCTAAAAGGACAAGGTGCCAGCTGAACTTTTTTCCCTTAATCTTGTAAATTCTTGACTTTTTTTTAAGGCCAGACCTTACGTAAACAGGCCCAGATTCTCTATTCAGAAGCTCCTGGGAAATGCCTATTCATGTCACATTGAAACCTCAGTGCCTGAAGGCAGAACTTGACCATTAGCCTTTGCAGCTGGTTGAATATTAATGTCTTGTACATTGTTCGAAGGGAGCACCCTGTCTAGTTGCCTAGCACTATGACACATTCCCAGGTCAGTTTACCGTTTGGGGCTGTGTTTTACAGCGTGACACTTCTTTTTTTCCCTTTGGAGTGTAACAGACCAAAGCATCTGACCAAGATCTGTATGCCTCTACGCCTGCGATGCCTAGAGTCAAGTAGGGGCTTTGAACCAGAACTGAGTCTAACTAAGGAACACAGGCTGCTGAGACCCAATCTGATTCTTGTCTCCCAATGAACTGGTAAACTCGCCTTAAGAAATGTATAGAGGAATAAAAAAGAAATGTATAGAAACTTACAAATATACATACAAGTAAAGAGAAGACATAATGATCCCTCACATATATTAATCATACAGCTTCAACAATTATCAACTTAAGGGTAATCTCGTTTATCATATCACCTCCCATTGCTCCCAACTCTGATTATTCTACAATAAATACTACATCATTTATAAATATTTCAGTAAGAATCTCTAAAAGTAGTCTCTTTAAAAAAACAAACAATACTGTTTTCATATGTAAACAAAACTAACAGTAATTCCTAAATATTATTAAATATTTAGTATCACATTTCTCCAATTGTCAGTTTGTTTGTTGGTTGGCTGATTTTTACAGTTTGAGTCAGGAGCCAGATAAAGTTCAAACATTTGGATTGATGGGCCTTTTAAGCTCTTAATCCTCTCTCTCTCTCTCTCTCTCTCTCTCTCTCTCTCTCTCTCTCTCTCTCTCTCTCTCTCGCTCTGCGTGTGTGTGTAAGAGGAAGTCCTTTTCCTGTCAGAGAAAAGCAGCATTTTTGGAATAACATCTTGACATAATTTTGCTCTTGGGTAATAACCAAAACATACTCTAGCCACCTACTTGAATATAGCTCCTCCTGCTCCTCCGAGAAATCTATGGCCTTCAGTCACAGAATAAGGCCACCAAAACTAGGATCAGAGAATGAACCCTTTGCAGGAGGATAAGCATTAATCCTTGAAATGGCTTGGTGAACCACAGCACAGTATATAAAGTCGTTACAAGGAGTCCTTTTCCAAAATGAAATTTCCGATCTGAAACCTCATCAACATCACTCTGCAAGTCATTTGGGTTGGAAACATGAAAACAATTTTTACCCATTTCTCCAATTTCAGAACCTAGGCAATTGGAGAAATAAAGAACAGAAAGTACTATAATGAGAAGCAGAATTTAGGGTATCATTCGTTTTCTTAGATGACTTTGTTAAATTAAGATTTCTGACATTGGTATTAGTATACTCCATTGTTGTCCCTTTACCCACCATAGAACTAGGGTACAATCAGGAAAATTGATAGAATAAAAAGAAAGGAGGAAAATGTGTGATTAGGAGATAAAGATAAATAACAGGAAGGAGGAAACTCGTTACTTTAGGGGCCAATTGCTCTGCCACGACTCAGAAAGTCTAACTCTAGACGAGGGAGCCGGTGAGAGGTTGGCTCTCTGGTACAAGATCGCACAGGCAACCAGAATGGTGGCCCGACCGATTCTCCAGAATCCCTGGGCGGGAGACACAGATATCTGTAATTGTTTTAAAAACTCCCCCGGTGATTCCAATGTGCAGCCACAGCTGAAAGCCTCTCCTGTGCCCTTTCCTCATACCAAGGGTCGAAAAGCCACAGCCTGCAGGCCAGATCTGGCCAGCTGTCAGTGTTGGTCTAGTCCAAAAGCTAAGAAAGGTTATTTTACTTTTAAATGGTTGGGAGGAAAAAAATAAAAACAAGAATAACATTTCGTGACATGTGAAAATTATATGAAATCCAAATGCCGATGTCCATATAAAATGCTTTATTGGAACATGTTCGTGTCTGTTTTGTCTACATGTATTGTCTATAGCTGCTTTCAAACTACAATCACAGAGTTAAGTTGTTGCCACAGAGATTATAGCTCCCCTTCCCCCCACAAAAAAACAACAACCCAAAACATGTATTATATAGCCCTTTATAGAAAAAGTTTGCCTGAAACACCCCTGGCATACTAAATTAAACATTCAACTGGAGGCTGGGGCATAGAAAATTGCAAAATTTTAATCAATCCCCAATATCATTGTGAAGTAAAGAAAACAAAAACATTTTTACAGTGGAATTCTCTCATGTTTTATTTCTCAGAAAGATGCACTTATAAGCAATAACTGTATGCTTTTTCTCCACTCACAATACAGTCAACTGCGAGGTAAACAAGTATATGAATGTAAGGAAAGAATGAATATCCTGTACTTGCATGCTTTCCCAAGTATTTAAACACTGGTTTATCTTTTTCTTTCTTCATAGTTTATAAAGTCCATAGTTGGGTATGGAATGTCTTGAGAGAGAACAAATGCATCACCGAGTTTCCTATTTCTCCTCATTTTAGAATGCTGCTTTTAAATTACCTGGGCAAAATGGGGACCAAAACTCCTTTGAAGGCAGCTGCAACCTTTTCCGTTGGTTGGAATACCTTTGCTTGTTCGGAGTCACTGGAGAAACCACTGAACTGGCTGCTTTTTAATTACTATTTGACAACTTGCCTCCAGTCTTCAGTTAATAAGTGAGTCATCTTTAAAATCTGCTGTCTCCAAAACTTTTGGGTTACATACCCCAACAATAAGAAGTTTTAAAGCACAGCACTGCTAATATATGTATATTTACGTTACATTGCATGCATTCACTACTGCACAAAATAGACTTCATATTAGAAATGTATACAAGAAATTTTAAGTATAAACTGAAAATATAGATAAAAGTTCTAATGTTTTCTTTCTGTACCCCAATAGATTATCTTGTACAACCCCTATGGTATGGGCCCCCATTTGAAGATCATTGTTCTGTCACTGCCCTAAATTATCCTAAAAGACTAAAAATATTACTATCAAGTGTGTTGAGTAACAATATGAACTATTTCCCTGGATTTTCTACTTGTTACTAATGTCAGTGCCTAGCCCTCTTCTAGGTGGTGAGTAATGTATATATTAAGTGTGTTCAGTGCTGAATGATAGGTTCCTTAAGTATGTGTTTGCAGTCCCTCCAGTTCTTTTTTTCTTTTTTCTCATTTTTTTAAATTAAGGTATTATATGTGTACATACCTTACCAATCCCCGCCCCAACACCCATGCATGCCCTCCCTCCACAGAGTTTTGCGTTCAAAATATGAAGTCAGTCAAGTGTGGTTGTGTGGAGGGAGACAATGTTAATCAGCTTAACAATAACCCACAATCATTGGACCAACTCCCAGTTCTTAACATTATCAAAATACCATCTTTGCACTCATTTTTATGGAATTGTATATATTCTAACAGTTAAACAGTATGGTAGCAAAGAACATAGATATGTTTCTGTTTATTCTTTTATGACTGTTACCATGCATTTTTTGGGTGAATTGCTGAATTAAAATATAAACTCTAAATAAAAGTCAGTTAATTTGTGCATGACTTAACTGAAAACCAGTTACCCAAAAGTTGGCATTACGCATTGGATTAAACTTAACCTATTTGTTACATAAATAAGGGTGTTGCTTATAAAATATTGATAAGAATACTAAAGAATCATCAGTTACTGTTGGTCACTGGAATGAGGGACGGTAGCAAGAAAAGTGAAGAAGGTGATTCAAATTAAAATATGGTTATACAACAAAAATGACCAACATTTAAAAAATAAGTACATATTGATGTGGAGAGAGTAGAGCGCCTGAAGAATGGCTCCTTTGTAATAAACACATCCAACAGCAACTTGGGCTAACTCCTCACAGGTGGCAAGATACCATGACCTTCCCGTGATATTATGCCATATATATATTTTTTTAAAGTACATATATAAAAATGCAAGTTATAATTTTCAGTTTAGCCATTTAAAAAATAGTATCTTCAGATAATATAGCCAATTAAAAGTTCCTGGCTTACATGAGACCTTTTTGGCCAAATTGGCTTAATAGCAGCAGTGTGTAGGTCTAATTTGTTATGAAACTTCCCTTACGCTTATTTTATAGAACTGGTTCATTCTTTCTCAGTAATTACTTTAACCAGGCCAGTTGAGTGTCGACCCATGAAACAAGAGATCACTGGTTCAATTCCCAGTCAGAGCACATGCCCAGGTCGAGGGTGAGATCCCCAGGAGGGGGTGTGTAGGAGGCAGCCGATTGATGTTTCTCTCTATATATCCCTCCCCTTTCCTCTCTCTCTCAAATCAATAAAAACATATTAAAAATAGGAAAAAAAAGTACTTTAAAAATTTCTTTGGGACAAATATCTGTGTACTCTGATTAACTAGATATTTACCATGGAGCATCAACTCGGTGCCCTGTGCTGGGCTTAGTTATATATTATGTAGGTATGTTTGAGATAGGAATGAATTTACTCTTTTCCTTTTGAAATTCTTTCGTTTCAGGCACCGGCATATGTTTGTAAAACAGATTGACATGGATCATGTCATGAAGGTAGGAGAAAAACTATATGTAATACTTTTATTTCCTTTTTTGATCCCCAAAATAATTACAGTCTGTTTTTGTGTTACAGGCTAAGTCCATTCGAGAGTTTGATAAGCGATTTACCGCAGTCATGTTTGGATACCAAACAATTGATGATTATTATACGGATGCCAGTCCAAATCGTAGACTGAAATCAGTAGGGATTCCAGTGTTGTGTCTGAATTCTGTGGATGACGTTTTTTCACCCAGTCATGGTAAAATTAACATATTTATGTACATTTTGACATGAGTTAACTGTTTTAAAATATTGTTAGGCACACAATAATAAGAAATAAAATGCCAGTCTTATAGTTTCCACTGTGATAAACAAAAACAAAAAATAGTTACTCATACTTTAATCTAAACATATCAGATCAGCTCTAGCCAGTTTGGCTCAGTGGATAAAGCATCAGCCTATGGACTGAATAGTCCCAGGTTTGATTCCAGTCAAGGGCCATGTGGGCTTGACCACCAGTGAGGGGCATGCAAGAGGCAGCCAATCAGTGATTCTCATCATTAATGTTTCTCTCCCCCTCTCTCTTCCTCTCTGAAATAAATAAATAATCAGATCACTTTAAAGTTGTCACAGTCCACTATGAGAACAAATTAAGACTCAGTATTTTAATTGTTCTCATTTTTATAACCTTTCCTTCTTATCAAATGTACTATTCTTTGGACAGTGTATATTATAATATCTTTGCTTCAAAAATCATCACTTGCCTTTGCTTTCTGATATTCCTTCCTATACAGAAGGCTTTGGAATATTTCTCCCCTTTTAACCTGGGAAAGAACTGGAGACTTTATAACACGATGTCCTTGAATCTCTTAATGAGTGTAGCACATTCAGACTCTAAAGTTATATTTGAAGGAAACAGTCTTTGTTTTTTCTCTGGATACTGTACAAAAGAAAATTATGCCAAATTAACTTTCTCTCTTAATTCAAGAAATATGGGATTTGGAAACAAAAATATAGAGCTCAGGGTTCGATTTTAGTCAAGGGAACATATTTGATCTGCAAGCTCGATCTCCAGTCCTGGTCTGGGCGCATAGGGGAGGCAACCAATCAATGTGTCTCTCTCACATGGATGTTTCTCTCTGTCTCTTCCCCTTCCTTCCACTTTCTCTTTAAAAAAAAAAAATCAGTGGAAAAATATCCTTTGGTGAGGATTAACAAAAAAAAAATTTTTTTTTTTAAATCAATGGTGATGACTATCAACAACTAATAAGTAAAGGAATCAATAGATTTGACCTCTAAGTTTTTCCTGTGAAATTTTTAAAGCTTTTTAGAAAACGTTTTCTCCCTGTTTTTCCCCCTAAGTACTTAACATTTTTCTCCCATCTATCAATACTTAATTAAAAAAAGATTATTCTGTCAAAACCGGTGTGGCTCAGTGGATAGAGCGTCGGCTTGGGGACTGAAGGGACCCGGGTTCGATTCCGGTCAAGGGCATGTACCTTGGTTGCGGGCACATCCCCAGTGGGGGGTGTGCAGGAGGCAGCTGATCGATGACTCTCTCTCATCGGTGTTTCTGGCTCTCTCTCTCTCTCTCTCTCTCTCTCTCTCTCTCCCTTCCTCTCTGTACAAAATCAATAAAATATATTAAAAAAAAAAAAAAGATTATTCTGACTACAAACATGACACATATGTATTGTCAAATTAAAAAAAAAAAAAATCACGCCAAAACTGGTTTGGCTCAGTTGATAGAGCATCGGCCTGCGGACTGAAAGGTCCCAGGTTCGATTCCGGTCAAGGGCATGTACCTTGGTTGCGGGCACATCCCCGGGGGGGTGTGCAGGAGGCAGCTGATCGATGTCTCTCCCTCATCGATGTTTCTAACTCTCTATCCCTCTCTCTTCCTCTCTGTAAAAAAAAACAATAAAATATATATATATATTTTAAATCACTTATCATCTCTCTAGGAGATATCAACTAATTGTGTGATTCATGACTAATCACAAATAACAGTAGATGACTAAAACTTTTGGCCTTTGACCACAAATCAGAAATTGAAACTGTAAACTTTAATATGGGTTAAATTACATAATGATTTTTTAGCCTCTCCACTGAATTAAGAAAGTCTGGTATTTATTTTTATATTTCACCTACCCTTCTCCTACTAACAAAATGTCCCAATATTTAACCTGACCCAATTGGTTTAAGTTGAAACTCATTATTTTCTATTCTTTCTCAAGCTTATAAAATACTCTTGCAACTTGAAATAGTGGGCAATTGTCTGCATTCTGAGAGGGAAGGCAGCCAGCATTTTTCACATGACTCAATGTGGACAGCCTTTTGTTCTTCTGATGTGACTGTAACTTCCAATGTTAGAAATCCCTGAGTGTATTCAGAATGTAAAATCGGGGCTCTTAATAATTCCATTACAGGCAAATGAAGCACTCTAAATATGAGCCTGAGTGTAAGGTGAAAAGCAAAAGCAAAAATAGCATCAGTCATTTTCCCTGTCCCGCCCCTTAGCTCTCACACCTGAGCCTGTGATAGAAGCTTATTTTTTAGGTGTTGCTGGCTAAGGATGTGAGTTCAATAGACAATAACTTGACTGGCTAGGCCTTGATTTAGGGAGTATTATGAGGGGTCAAATTTAGAGCCTCATCTAAACAGGCAACTTAGGCACACAGCAGAAGCCCCGACTTGGAAGGAGCTCAGTTCTCTTTATAGTGTCAGCATCTTTCCCTTTCTTAGAAGGGTGTGGGGTGTAAGAGCTGACCTTTAGTGAGCTCATTTACCTCTAAACTCTGGCCAAGATGTGAAAGTCTAATTATTGCATCAACCATGTTATCTTAAATAGGGAGGCAAGATTTAGCATATCTGAATCAAAGCAATTTCCATGCCAGTTTGGAAGCCATTATAGATCTTAAATCAAAACATTTTCATTGTTTGAACTCCAAGCATGTGGGTGGAGGAGGGGAGAACAGCTTTAATTCATATCCGTAAAGTTTTCACTCAGGAAGATTTTTGTAGAGCATATAAAAAGACTCTCATTACTGCTGAATTATTTACATACTAGAGGCCTGGCGCATAAAATTTGAGTGCATGAGGTGGGGGCAGGGAGGGTTGTCCCTCAGCCCAGCCTGCACCCTCTCGCAATCCGAGACCCCTTAGGTAGTGTCCCTAGGCCAGGCAGGTGATCAGGACTTATCAGGGTTTTTCTTTCCCCGGCTGCTGGCACCTGGCCCTGCCCCCCCCCCCCCAACACACACACACACACACACACACACACACACTTCTTGCCATCTCTGCAGCACTGCCCCTCAGTTACCTCCCCTGCCATCAGTTACCTCCCTCTGCAGTTGACAGGCGTGGGGTGCGATAGCTTGGCTGGCCTGGGCCTCCCTCTGTGGGGCGATGGCAGGGGGCGGGGGGAAGGGGCTCCCACCCAATCACATTGCACCTTTGTTGGCTGGCCTGGCACCAGCGCTTGTCATAGTGTGGTCATCTGGAAGGTCGTCCGGATGGTCGTTCTGCTGTTCAGTCATTCAATTGGTTTGCATATTATGCTTTTATTATTATAGATAGCAACTATATTTTCAAAGTAAAGTTATTCTTTTTCCTGACTATAAATATAAATTCAGAGAAGGAATAATCACCAATGTTTTTAACCATCCCAAAATAATCAGTTACCACTTGGAATAATATTTTATTTCTTTTTTTTTTTTTTTTTTGCTATTTATATATGTTTTTACTATACAGATCACATGTATAATTTTGAATTCTTGATACAGCCACCATTTGGGATCTAACTTCATGTAAAGTTTAACCAAAGTCATACACAATGAATTTATAACTCTCACAAAGGTCCTAAGATTAGTTTTTCTTTCTTGGTATAACACCTAAGTGGGAATCTTGCAGCATAATATAAGTATTTACCATTCCTTGAAATACCTTTAATTTCTCATAACAAGATTGGGCCTGTTCTTTTGTGTTATGATTAAACACTTGAATTGATTCTTTAAAAAATGATGGTCCAATACATAATTGTAAACATGAACTGTTATAAGAATATACCCTGGCTGGTGTGGCTTAGTTATTTGAGCATTGTCCCATGCATGGAAAGATCACTGGTTCAATTCCTGGTCAGGGTACATACTCATGTTGTGGGTTTGATCCCAGTTCTGGATGCATGTGAAAGGCAACTGACCAATATCTCTCTCTCTCCCTCTTCCTTCCTCTCTCTCTCTCTCAAAAATCAATAGAAACATATTTTAAAAAACATATAGATGATTAATATAGTCAGACTTATTCCATTAGCCATACTCATTACAAATATGTGTTTAATTTTGTTTTTAACTATTGGAAATAATAAAGACATACATTTTCCTTATTTCTTTATTATCCAAAAATTGGTAATAATTATATATTTTCTCTCTCCCTTTCTTACCCACCCCGTCTTTTTCCTCAAGCTATTCCAATAGAAACTGCTAAGCAAAATCCTAATGTTGCTTTGGTCCTTACTTCTTATGGAGGCCATATTGGTTTTCTGGAGGGCATCTGGCCAAGGCAGTCCACGTATATGGATCGAGTCTTCAAGCAGTTTGTGCAGGCCATGGTTGAGCACGGACATGAACTCTCTAACATGTAGTTTTTCAGGTGCGTTTTGTCTGAACCATAGAAAGCAGCTCAGCTTACTGCACACAAATCTTAACTACTGTATATAAAGCAAATAAGCCAGCTGGTGGTGAAGAGGTCCATAATGACATGCAAAAACCATTTTGGGAGGAAATAAAACAACTATGTAGCAAAAAATAAAATGCAGATTTAGATTGTAATTTATGTAGATTTTATTTTTATTATGCCTTACCAAGTATGACCTTAAATCAAGTAGTACAAACATGCAATTGCACTTAACCAAAACCATTGTGTAAAAATATTTTAATTCCTCAGGGTTTGAATTTAGGCTAATACGTGTTAGATAACTCATTTTACATGATTTAATGGTACTTTAATAACTACCAGAGATTATTGGTAAGAGATTTTTGGCTTCTTGAATGTAAGTTATAAGTTGGCACATTCCTAAGGGTATTTATATGATAATGACATAACTGAAATAAGATAAAATACAATATATGCTAAATATTTTGTGTTCTAACTTTCAAAGGCAAATGCAACATTAGACTGACTTCTATACATGCTCTTTTATTCTGATATTAAATTAAGGCTGACTTATGTTTTATAATGATTATAGTTTACATGCTTATTTTTAAAATAGTATATGCATAAATATATCTTATTATATTAAAATAAATTATATTTTAAATTGTTTATTTGTGAGTTTGTTTTTTGTTTTTTTTTAACCCTCAATTGAGGACATGATTATTGATTTTAGAGAGAGGGGAATGGAGAGAAGAAAAGAGAGAAACATTGAAGTATGAGAGAAACATTCATCACTTACCTCCCATACTCACCCTTACCGGCGATCGAACCTAAAATCTACGTATGTGCCCTGACCAGGAATTGAACCCACAAAATTTCAGTGTATGGGACACTGTTCCAACCAACTGAGCCAACTAGCCAGGGCTCTTTGTGAGTTTTTATCTACAAAAAGTAATCTCTAGACAGCAATTTATAAATTCATGAATTGCATTAGTAAGAAATATTAAAATTGTTTTGCTCATTGTTTCCAGAATATTGGGCTCACACCATGCATACCAATTAAAAATACTTGCAGTTCCACTGAGTTCACAAGTAACACCTGTAGCCCAACAGCTCCATGTGGAGGAATACCAAGATCCAAAGGGCAGGCGGGTGAGAGACAGGGGCAGTGAAGACAACAGCAGGTCAGGAGGGGTGGTGGCAAAAACTGCCTCCTGCTTCTGGGAGATTAGGTGACTGTTAATTGCTCTTGGTGTCATGGCAATAAGCTCCCATCTGATGTCATAGGGCAACGTGGACTGGTCCACATTATAATGAATCAGAGCCAGTTTGCAGAGTCTTCACTTTAAGGGCTAAAGTCCAAAATGCGTAAGTCAGAATTATCTATGAGGTCAAATTCTTCTCCCAGGCCTTCATCAGATGAACTGGTACCTCCAGAGGACAATTTTGTCACCAACTACAGCAGCACTGGTGCCAAGGGGACATGGGCCCTTTCCCTTAGGTTCAATCTTTTTCCGGATAAAGGACACAGGGTTAAACCATGGAAGTGCCGGTGCAGTTTTGCATTATAGCCACCAAAGATATACAACTCCCCATGGTAGCCAAAGGCTGGGTGGTTCTGGTGTCCCCTTGGGCAGCACCAGAGTGGCTGGACAATCCAGTCAGGTATCAGTCCTGGTGTCAAAGACTCGGATGGGTTGCAAGTAAATCTCATTGTTGGAATGGAACGGTCCAAAGCAGTCCGCGACATATATGACTGCCCAGCATTAGTGGCTGAGTGGAAGTCCCTCTAGCAGCACAAGATTACCCTTTGTATAGATGAGGGGTCATGTCATGGTATCTAGCTTGTGAGTGTCATTAGAAAAGCAGCCCACCAGCTACTCAGAACTCTTAAAATGTATATGGTCCTGCCAAAGACACAAGGTGAATATCTATCCAGGGCCCCAGAAATTGTTCCTAACACTAGGGTTGTGGACCATTTGTATTGATATCAAAGGTGTAGAGCACACGGCAGGCTCCTTCCGTGCCATTCTTTCCACCCCAAAGGAAGACTTGGTCATCGATTATGTTTGAGTGTCCATACCGCATGCATGGTACTGGGGGTGATGGGCCTCACGGGGAAGGGGAAGCACAAGGATACTGCATTGAAAATATGCACAAAAAATGAGTGCTTCGAGGATTTGCGTGTCATCCTTGTGCATGAACCATGCTCATCTTCTCTGTATGGTTCCAATTCTAATTTTAGCATGTGTGCTGCCAAAGTGCACACCAAAACATTTTTATAATGGCATTATAGAATACCTCAATGGTTAGTAAACTTATGACCCTGAGTGAAATTTAGCCTTCTGCCCATTTTTGTCTTTTGCCCAGAACACAGCCATGCCCATTGATTTACGGATTGCCTACAGCTAATTTAAGTAGAGTTGAATAGTTGAGATACACAATGATTTTAATTCTAAACCTTTTTCATCTCATGGCACACATTTCTAAAATTCTGCAGCACACCAATAAATGTTTCACTGACGTGACAAAAAAATAGGCGTCAGTGCTCCCGACGAAATTCAGGTATTCCATGTTTTAAAAATTCTTGCAGCACACTGGTTGAAAATCGCTGGCCTACATCTAAAATACTATTTGGCTTTTCAGAATGAGCTTGGGACTCCTAGTCTACTCCACAAATAAGACACAGGAATGTTTTCCTTTTAAGAAATGTGATGAACTTCTTTATGACTATATTTATCTTGTTTTCCTTGAATTCTTAAATGAAATCCTGGATCAAAGCACAGAAAAAAATGTTAAGGCTTTTAAGATATCCTGACAAGTTGCTTAATGTTTTTCAATGCACCTTCCTATCAGCCTACTCCAAATGGTCTTCTACCTACAGGACAATAAACACTATTTAAAAATTATTTTATCAAAAATAAAAATTGAGCCCTAGCAGTTTGGCTCAGTGGATAAAGTGTCAACCTGTGGACTGAGGGATCCAGGTTCAATTCTGGTCAAGGGCACATGTCTGGGTTATAGGCTGAATCTCCAGTAGGGAGCATGCAGGGGGCAGCCAATCAGTGAATCTCTCTCACCATTAATGTTTCTCTATCTCTCCCTCTCTGAAGTAAAAAATATATATATATTACTGAAAACTACATGAGTACCAAAAATTTTTTCTCTAGTTTTAATATTTTACAATGTTGGTTTGTCTCATAAGGTTAAGTTCCTCTTTTTTCTTTTCTTAAAAAAATGATGAATCTCCTACAGCCTCCTCATTCATCAGAATGAACACCAGAGCCAATTTACCAGTTAAGAACACAGGGTTCTTGGATGTAGACTTGCCTCTAAATTCCAGCTCTGCTGATTAAAAACTGTGGGACTTTGGCAGTTACCTAACCTCTCTGGGCATGTTTTCATTTTGAAAACAGAAAACACCATCTGCTACACAGGTTCTGAGGGTTAAAAGAAATAACATATCAAGGGCTTAGCACAGAATCTGGCACAGAGTAAAATAAATACTCCGTCCAATATTTGTCAAATGACAAGGGTACTAGTTAATATTGTCCACTAAAAGAAAATCCGTTTGGCAACTGCATTCAATCTATACGAAAAACCTGGCACAGAATAGGCATTAAGTTCAAGAAATTACTTTAAAATTCACCAGGATAATTTTGTTAAACCTTTAAATTGAGAACATTCACTTAACGACACCTGCAATTTTCATCTTATGGCACACACAAGGATATTACGATTGACGTTAGAGAGAAAAATTCATTTAAGAATGAAGGAAAAATTACAAAGCTCCAGAAAACACGAAAATCCTCACTGTCCTTGCAGATTCATAATGCGTATTATCTTTTAAAGTCTTACTAATTCACGTGAATCCTCTTAACAGCCAATCACACAATATCTGTAGTTCATCAAATCTGACATCGATTTTTAGATGCACCATATTTTTGTACTAAAAAAACCCAAAAACCTGACTTGATGCCCACTCTAAGTTCATGCCTTAATGATGCATCTTTTTTTCTTTAAATTTTTTTTTTTTTATTTCAGAGAGGGATAGAAACACGAGATTGGCTGCCTCCTGCACATACCACACCGGGAATTGAACCTGTCATGTGCCTTTTGGAGAAAACACCTGCTAAAAAGCTTCATTCATATTGAGTTATATTGCTACTAGAGGCCTAATGCACAAATTTTGTTCATGGGTAGGGTTCTTAGGCCTGGCCAGCGAGCAAGGCTGATCTTTAGGCAACTGGTGGGGTAGTCAGGGGTGAGGGTACCCGGCAGCCATCTTGATTGGCCTGGGGAGAGCTCCTATGTCGAGGGCCTGCCCCCTGGTGGTCAGGAAGCATCTAGTGGCTGGTTGTTCCAACATCTGGTTAATTTGCATATTAGGCTTTATTATGTAGGAGTGGTTGTGAATTCAATGTAAATGTATATTATTGTCTTCAAACAAAAATGCACATATGAAACGATTATATATTGATCAGATTGATGAAAATGTTACTGTAGGCTCATAGAAATCTAATTTCCCCTAGGAATACCAGTTAACTCAGAATTGCAAATTATTATGACTTAATTACTGTGAATAATAAAAATCTACTGCATTCGACATTTAGAGCTTTTGCTATTATTCTTTTGTAAATCGAATCTCACATATATACTAACCTTACCTAAAATATACACTTTAATGCTTTACTGACAGGAAAAGCTGGTTCAGATAAATGTAACACTATCATGTTTCTACACAAATATAATTAGCAAATTTCCCTTCCTTTTCAAAAGTATGTCCTGCCAAGACTGGTTTGGCTCAATGGATAGAGCGTTGGCTTGGGGACTGAAGGGTCCCGGGTTCGATTCCAGTCAAGGGCATGTACCTTGGTTGCGGGCATATCCCTAGTGGGGGGTGTGCAAGAGGCAGCTGATCGATGACTCTCTCAACGATGTTTCTAACTCTCTCTCTCCCTTCCTCTCTGTACAAAATCAATAAAATATATTAAAAAAAAAAAAGTATGTCCTTTTTACATTCACAAAAATTCTCACATTAAATAATGAAGGGTAATATTAGGTATACTTTTTAAATTACAATGTATATAAAAATGTCTGCTATTGGTTTAAGATGGACTTTCTTCATGTTAAAGAATCATCTTCCAGTTTAGGGTCTTAAGTGTTATAGTTTATGAAATGTCATTTAATGTAATCATGTAAATTTTGACTGAGTATATTAATAGATTTCAACATACCAAGATATCCTTGCATATAACCACAATAATTACAATAGGCTATGGGCCCAGTGCACAAATTTGTGCACACTGAAAAGAACTGTGGGCTGCAAGGCTGTGGTGGGCACAAGGGTGGGTCTCGGCCCATCTGCTGCGTCCCTACCCAATCCCTCCCATTGCAGATCCTGGTCCCCCCATCCACCAGAAGCCCCACACCCACCCACTGATGGTGCAGAGCAATCAGGGCAGGTGCCAGCAGCAGGTGGGAGCAGTTGGTTGCTGCCCTGATTACCCCTCAGGAGCAGAGGGAGGTGAAGAAACCCTCAGGGGCAATCAAGGCCAGCAGCCACTATTCATACCGCTGATGGCGCTAAGTTATTGGGCCTGGCGCCAGATGCCCAGAGCAGATGTGAGTGGCAGCTGAGTGCTGGTGAAACTGCGGCGTGTGGAAGCCAAGAATTTTCAATAACCATCACAGGCTTACCCCTGTGACAACGACCAGCGCCCCACCTTCATCTGGCGCCCCTGCTCACCGATCTACCAGCCTGTCCTGGCCGATGCCCACCATGTTCCATGCGCACCCCTGGTGGTCAGTGCACATCATAATGACCAGTTGTTCCACTGTTCGGTCTATTTGCATATTAAGGTCATATATATATATCTTTAATACATTAAAAGACACTGTGAAATTTGATATTCTATTATTCCACTTAAAATTTTCTACCTAAATACAATTTTTTAAAAAAACCTAAATTTCACTAAATCTTAAGCTTTAAAAGGTTTCAGATGTATGCAAAATGAAGCAGCACCTAAGATCTTTATATACTTTTTGGGGGGAAGTAGGGCAAGAGAAACATATTAAAACTTGGTCTGTTTTCTACTCATACTGCAGTGCTTCCTTTATAGCTAATGGCAGTTCAAACAGCTTTTTCCTCATACATAAAAATGAAATAATGACTTCGAATGGATTAAACTCAATCTAGTAACCACTGTGGTTTACTTACATTTAAACTATGTTACTAGACTGGTTTCACAATGCAAACATCTAGATATTAAAACACACACACAAAAATACAGATTAATAACTTTGAGGTTACACTGGAATGACTTAAAATAAAAATGAGAAGCCAATACATATTGCTTTTAAAATAGACAATAGGAAGTACTCTTATCAGATAGTTACCACAATTTCCAGTTACGTATCAATGTTTATTTTAATTTTGCTTCCCTTTTAACCTATAAGGTCTGAGGTTAAGAATCAACTTATGTTAGTTTACTTGTGCCAGGTCTTTTCTGTTTGCTCCCTTTGAATATCCTCTTCACCTTACTGCATCATTGGGTTTCCTTGCTGTCTGCTTAGGTTCAAATAAGTGGAATGCCAACAGATCAGTGGATAGACAAGATTGAGACACACATATACAAATACTCTTGCTATCTCTCAGCTTACAAAACCTTTTTAGTCTGCAGACAATTTCCTCATTAAAAAAACACTCCACAAGCTTAAATGAAAATACAGACTTAATCCTCTCATCTTCAAAATTAATTTTCTTCCCTTAGCATATAAACAAATGGTAGTAAGCTTTACAAGGAACTGTATATACTGAGAAGTATTTTTTTTCTAAGCTTAGCCAATTAAAACAATTTTTAAAAATCCTTAACTACTGGAAAGAATCCAGTGTTGTCATAAAATAAGTAGTTTTCCTTTTATTCTTAAAGGACACCTTAAGTTCTTGATAAAGGGGCTACTGTCAGGTATATTCCACAATAACACGTTTCAACACTGCTTATAAACTAGTGAATATTAACTGAAGTTTCAAGTCAGGAGAATGTAAAATTATATTCTATGGAGACTATTGAAAAAATAAAACAAAAACCAAAAAGCATTATCACAACAAAACCAATGACTCCTAAATTAGAAGATGACTATCACCTTTTACTAAGTACCTAAGTTTCCATGGAGTAAAACTCAGGAAAGGAGAATCAATTTTATAGACCATTCCACAGGACTTCAGCTTCTGAAATAAACAAAATCCATTTCACCTATAGGTAGGTTTCATAGAACTGAGTTGAAGTAAAACAAAATACATATTCAGTGCATGTGAAGTAAAAAGATGTATGTATATACTATATGTATTTATAAAAGAAATATTTTAGTTAAAAAAAAATTAAAAGCCTGACCTATGAATGGAATTCTGGAACTGCCATGTAATAATACTCAGCTCTCATTGTATTATGTCATGAATATATATGAACTATTAAAACTAAATGTGATAGTCAACCAACAGCTGGCCTACATTTATGTTTATTAAAAACTGACATAAACAAACATAACCTGTACAAAAAATATCCCAAATCGCATATCACTTTGAAACAGTAATCTTGAGAGACATTATCGCCTAGGACCCCCTCTTCCTCTGCCCCGACCACGTCCTCTTCCTCTTCCCCGGCCTCGGCCTCTTCCTGCAACTGAGGAAAGAAAAAAATAAGGTAAGGTAAATTCTCTTCTGATCTGATGTTACCTGGTCACCACAAATAGCATCTACAGTAAAGAAAACTTTCTTGGCTTCCCTCAAATGTAACCTCAAATCACCCCTCCAAATACACGCAGAACCAAGCACCGCTGACCTTTATTGTATTTGTTAGTTTGAATATAATTACTGAGAAATTAATCAAGTTTTAAAACATTTTTTTTGTTATTGTGTCTCAAAATCCCCTCCAAAACGAAATGCAAATTATCTGAACCTCACACAAGATGGACTTAAAGATATCTTATCAACGGAACAGAACATGAACACCATGAACAGACTTTTAGTTACTGAATAGAATCCAAGGAAAACCTAGTATTTTAATCTATATAGCAATATCCCTTGTCACTTGGTCATCTTAAATCTATTTAAATATCAGTGACAGAAAACTCTTACCCAAATGAATTTATTTCATCTTTGGACAGCTATAAATGTTTTTAAAAATCCTGACATGCAGTTGTCAGTTACATTCTATTATTTTCAGCTTTCAAAACAAATAGTAAGTCTAGAATATCTGTTAAAAGAAGGCAGATTAACCACACATCTTTAATTCCTTCTAAAACACTATTCATAATAGAAAAGGAAAAAAATGATAAATACCCTAAGGACAAAAATAAAATATAAGGCAGAGAACACATAATATCTGAAAGAATTTCCCCCACAAATTAACTTAGAAAGTAGTCTAAGGACAGTAAATGTTTAGTAAAGGAATAACAACTCCCTAGAGACCTAGGATGTTGAGAACCAAAGGTAAAATGAGGCCACCATCCTAAAAACAAACAAAAAAATAGTTAACAATTTTATGTGGAGCAGTAAACTATCTAGTCCTCTTCCCCACCTTACAAGGCTAATTATTATTTCCCTAACAAGTAGGTAAGAAAGAAAAGGTAAAATGAACCTAAAGGTACAGAAAGTCTTCAGATTTGAAAACACAAAGTGGATAGGAGCAAGAGGCACAGAGCTAAGGGAAAGGGACAGGGGTATTAAATCAGCATTTTTTAAGCTATGAGTTGTAACCTGAAATTTTCTTAACTAAAAGAAAAAGAGGACAGGGCCCTAGATGGTTTTGCTCAGTAGATAAAGTTAGACTCTCAGACTGAAGGGTCCCGGGTTCAATTCCAGTCAAGGGCATGTGCCTTGGTTGCAGGCACATCTCCAGTAGGTGTGCAGGAGGCAGCTGATCGATGTTTCTCTCTAATCGATGTTTCTAACTTTCTATTCCTCTCCTTTCCTCGCTTTAGAAAATCAATAAGATATATTAAGAGAGAGAGAAGAGGGAAGAGGGAAGAGAGACAGAGAGAGAGAAAGAAAACTTAAAGGCATTTGTATGTATTAAAGGCCAAGTCATTGTTCTTGAAATTTGTTTTAGTTATGAGTGGGTCACAATACAAGGTATATTTTAGTGTGGGTGGAAGGAAAGTCTCAAAATCATTATATCGCCGAAACCGGTTTGGCTCAGCGGTAGAGCGTCGGTCTGCGGACTGAAAGGTCCCAGGTTTGATTCCGGTCAGGGGCATGTACACTGGTTGCGGGCACACCCCAGGTAGGGGGTGTGCAAGAGGCAGCTGGTCAGTTTCTCTCTCATCGATGTTTCTAGCTCTCTATCTCTCTCCCTTCCGCTCTATAAAAAATCAGTAAAAATATATTTTTTAAAAAATCATTATATTAAGTGTCAGTCTATAAAACACCAGCTTCTTTCTCCCCCTGCTCTTACAATACCCACCAGCTAAGAAGGCCAGCTTTCCCTTCCCAGAACTTTAAGTAACAGATGACCAAAGAATAAGGTACTTAATTAATAAAAAACAAAAAAAAGAGAAACCAGAGAAAATAAGCATTGACAAGCATAGAAAATTTAAAAAAAAACAAAAAAACAACCCATCCCCAAAACCATGATTAATGTCCTACCAGTTAATACCCTACACAGTATTATTCATATAAGAAAAACACCTACATCTAACAAGAACAGAATTCTATGAAAAATTATCAGAGAACACAAGAGGCTTGAAGATTAAAGGTATGCTAGATTGAAAGATAAGGCCAAGGAAATTTTTCTAGAAACAGAAGACAAAAAACCCATGTTGAGAGGGTTCACCAAGTACCCAGAACAGCAAAATGAAGAGAAAAAAGGGAGGACAAGCAAAGATCCTATTCCAAGTCATTAAGAAATTTCAGAATACTGAGAATAAAAAGCTAATGTCCAAATCTTCCAAAGTGTGTACAGAGTGGGAGATAAGGCCACACACAAAGGTACAGGAATTAAGAATGGCATTCCTGTTTTAATAACAATACCAGTAAAAATAATAAATACCATGATAAAAAGTGCTCTCATGGCAAGTATAGGCAATTAAAAAAAGACAACTAAAAAACCAAATTGTTTGCAAACATTTATATTTTGATTAGTGAATTAAGTTATAAATACATTCACAAAAACATTTATAATGCTTCCAACTTACCAGCTTCTCTTTTCTTAGATTTGACCTTTGGTTCAACATCCACAAGTAGTGTATCCAAGGGTAAGCTGTCTGGCAGAATAAAATATCGAATGTTATTTCCGCGAATACTCAGAGTTTCCAGCTGTACAGGTTCTCGGTTCTTCAGGGTCATTTTCACAGCTTTAAGATGAGTATTCATGCTGACATCTACACCTAAAGGGAAAAAAAGAGAGTGATTATTAGCACAATAAGAAAGGCAACCAATTAATATATCAAGTAGTGTACATCATTTTACAGAAGAGTACTGTTCTGCTGCTACAGTGCAAGTAGCTATGACATAATTATGTAAACTGGTAAATAGGGAGATACTGTCAGTACAAATCAGAAGTCTTTCTTTAGAGAGATTTTCCCTGCCATGTTAGATATACTTTCAAAAGTGACTGCAGCAAGCCATGGAGAGACCCTTACTGATACACACGCCTATTTCCACTGTTGCCATATATTCTCTTCATAGCCTAAAGCAGTGGTTGGGCAGCTCGTGAGCCTCAGCTTGCCACTCTATTGACTAATGAGTTAGCCGAACACTGGCCTAAGGCAATGCTTATTGCACAATTCCCCCATTGTCTTTATAACTTCCTATACCCTGTCTCTATCTTCATCTTTGCTTTAAGAATAAAGTCCTAGCCGAAACTGGTTCAGTTCAGTGGGTAGAGCATCAGTCTGTGGACTGAAGGGTGCCAGGTTCGATTCCGGTCAAGGGCATGTACATTGGTTGCGGGCACATCCCCGGTAGGGAGTGTGCAAGAGGCAGCTGGTCAATGTTTTTCTCTCATCGATGTTTTTGGCTCTCTATCCTTCTCCCTTCCTCTCTGTAAAAAATCAATAGAATGTATTAAAAAAAAAAAAAAAAAAAAAAAAAAAAAAAAAGAATAAAGTCCTATATGCACAGTACTATTTTTTCTTATTAGAAATTTAACATGTCTTTTTTAGTATTTTTAAAAATGAGGGTTACTATTTTTGTTAATACTTTATTACTAAGTTGCATAAGTTTTGAGTGGTCCATCTCAAACTACTTTTCCCATTAAATCATTATTTTCAATATGAGCTTTTGCAAAATAAAAGCATGGTTTTTCTAGGATTATATGACATGACAACAGAAATACTCAATTCTTTTTTTTTTTTTTTTTTAATTTTTAGTGTTCAGTTTTTTTTGTGTGTGTGTGTTTTAAATATTTTATTGATTTTTTTTACAGAGAGAAAGGGAGAGAGATAGAGAGCTAGAAACGTTGATGAGAGAGAAACATCGACCAGCTGCCTCTTGCACACCCCCTACCAGGGATGTGCCCGCAACCAAGGTACATGCCCTTGACCGGAATAAAACAGGGGACTTTTCAGTCTGCAGACCGACACTCTACCACTGAGCCAAACCGGTTTCGGCCATACTCAATTCTTGGAGCACTTACTAATACATCTGAATATACAGGATAACTAAAGATCTAGTTAATTTATATCCCTAGAAAGTTAAGGCCAAAATACATGAATTCTCTCAACTGTCTCAATATCCATCTCAAATTTATTAAGTCTTATTACTAATATTTTTCTATCTCTTTCCAGTCAAAGAGGTTCTCTGCTTTCCCAAAATTATACTTTGGATACATTCCATTTTTGCGGGGGACCTTGATCCATCAATGGAAGGCAAAAAAAAAAAAAAAAAAAAAAAAAAAAAGATTTATAAGCTCTTTCTATATTTCTGATCTGCATAAGACATTTTAATTTAATCTTCAAAATCCCTACGGGTAGATTATCCCTACTATGATGACTAAAAGATATACCTATAAAAGATACAAGAAATTTGTAATGGTGTTTGTCAATGAAGGAGGGAATTAAGATTTTTTTTTTTTAAACTAGATTTTGCTCCCCCAACTTATTTTACCCTCCCCCCCCCCATCACTTAATGTCTACTATGTTAGGCAAACCTTGCATTACATTATTTGTGTGTGTGTGCCTTCCATCACAATTTTAAAACACACACACATTATTGATTTTGGAGAGGGAGAGACAGAAATGTCAATGAAGAGATTCATTGCTCGGCTGCTTTCTACACATGCCATACTTAGGATCGAGCCCACAACTCAGGCAATGTGCTCTGACTGGGAATTGAACTGTGACCACCTGGTTTATAGGCCAACATTTAACCACTGAGCCATGCCGGCCAGGCCCATCACTAGATTTTGAAATTTTAGGAGAAGGCAGACTAATCACTGTTTATAGAATTTTAACATAATAGCAATTATACTTCCTCAGATATGGTCAGTCTATATCACAATCTTACACTGTATTACTGATTTCTTCATAGCAATTGGTTATACAAAGTTCTAGTATATACACAAATAATATCAGTTTAATAATGTATATTTCTCTTGGTTTACTCAGATGCTTGATCTATATGTTAAAAAATTATTTATAAATTTGTAACTTAAACATTTAAGAGAGTGGGACCACATGCCAAGATAGCATTTTCTTTCTTTGGTTCATCAATTCTTTTGAAACTTTGCAACTTTGGAAGGGGGCCTACTATGAATGAAAAAAAATCACAGTGGCCTTCAAATATAAACCTAAACATATAACATCATTACAGCAAAGAGTTAAACAAATAACAAAAAAGTAATTAAGCCGAAACTTGGTTTGGCTCAGTGGATGGAGCGTAGGCCTGCAGACTGAAGAGTCCCAGGTTCGATTACGGTCAAGGGTATGTACATTGGTTGTGGGCACATCCCCAGTGGTTGTGCAGGAGACAGCTGGTCGATGTTTCTCTCTTATTGATGTTTCTAACTTTCTATCCCCTCTCACTTCCTCTCTGTAAAAAATCAGTAAAATATATTTTTAAAAAATAGTAATTAAAATTTAGTTCCTTACTGTCCTCTCAGTCTCCCACATATATTTTTACCCAAGATAATAAAACATGGAAACCCATCTTCTATCTTCAAAGTCTTTACAATCTAACAGGAAGTACAAAATTCTAATCCTATATTTTTTTAAAAAAAAGTAATATGCAAATTAACCATCACTCCAACACACAAGATGGGCGCTCTCATGTGGACACAAGATGGCCAACAGGGGAGAGCACTTAGGGGTGACTGGGTTCAACAGAGGAGGGCAGTAGTGGGTGACCAGGCCTGCAGGGGAGGACAGTTGGGGGCAACCAGGCCTGCAGGGGAGGACAGTTGGGGGCAATAGGGCCAGCAGGGAAGCTGTTAGGCATTGATCAGGATGACAGGGAAGTGGTTAGGGGGTGATCAGGCTGGCTGGCAAAAGCAATTAGGGGCAATCAGACAGGCGAGCAGTTGGGAGCCAGCAGTCCTGAAATGTGAGAGTGATGTCCGACTGCCTGGTGGGATCAGGCCTTAATGGGCAGTCAAACATCCCTCGAGGTGTCCCAGATTGGAGAGGGTGCAGGCTGGACTGAGGGATACACACACCCTCTCTGTGCACAAATTTCATGCACCGGGCATCTAGTAAAAGTGATAAAATATATTTTGGAAGATGCAACATTGCAGGCAAAAGGACACACACACAGATAAAAACATGAAAGGCATAAAAGTAGGATAACAGGGGTCACATATAAGACATCTTGGGGAACCCAGTTCAGTCTTAGCACAAGTAATTAAGGAAAGGCTAAAGTAAGAAGGCCAGTGAAAGAATTCAGACAAAAAGAATGAGATCCCTACTATAAGAATGTTCATTAAGCAACAACAACAACAAAAATAAAATAAATAAATAAATAAATAAATAATAATCCTGGTCTGTAGATAGAAGGGCTTTATAAAACAGTCTAACTTCCATACCTGTGATTGTTCCATGGACCTGTGTTCCATTCTTTAATTCGATGGTTACAGTTTCGTGACTCAATTTCATCAAAAATCTATAAAAACAGCAGGAATAAAATGATAAATTTTCACCGTAAGTCAAAAGGGTGAAATTTCTAATTGTTGAAAATCTGCTTAGATGGTATCTGCATCAATTCCTATTAATAATCTCCATAACAATTTCATGTTTCCCTGAATTAAAATCTTAACATTTACGAAGGAGCATAGCAAGAACACAGTCATTTGGACACTTCTGATTTTCTAAACCATTTTAAAGCATCATCTGTGCATACAGATCTTAAAGTCATTATAAGCCACAAAATTGAAATCAAGAAATTATATGGATGAAAGTGGTCAAAAAGTATGTATTTCATTATAAGATACATAAATATTTCAGGTAAGATGATTATAATTAATATTGTTGTATGGCATATTTGAAAGTTTAGACTTTTGCATCTAACATATAACAAAATATCCTGTCAGGATAATTTCCCTTTTTGGACTCCTCAGAGTACAAGCAATACATCAGAGCAGAGACTATAAATCCTCTAATTGTTATTGACGTTAATTCTGGACTATTAATTACCATGTACCCACCTATGTAAAAGATGTTTCATTTTACTTTTTATCCAATCCCAGAGGTTTCACTGAATTTTTCTCCTGCCTCCCTAATCTGTTACCAATGAATTTCATGTAACCACTTATACCCTCTTTTGATTATATATACTAGCACACTGGTAGGCAAACCGTGGCTCACAAGGGTGGCTCGCCACTCTTTTGACTAATGAGTTTGCCAACTACTGTACTAGAGGCCCAGTGCATATAATTGTGCATGGGTAGGGTCCCTCAGCCTGGCTTGCACCCTCTTACAATCCTGAATCGCTTAGGGGATGGGGGGAGTGTAGCAGTGAAGTGGCAGGCAGCCTAGAAGGAGCCCCAGCCAGGGCCCGGCGCAGCTCCACTGCCACTCATCCCAGTCCTCCTGAGCCTGCCACCACTCAGTAGCACTATCCTGGAGGCAGGAGAGGCTCACAGCTGCACTTGCCAGCTATGAGCCCAGCTTCTGTCTGAGCAAGTGCACTGACCACCAGAGGGCAGCTTCTGCATTGAACATCTGCCCCTAGTGGTCTGTGAGCATTATAGTGACTTTTATATCTACACTAATAAAAGAATAAGATGGAGCCGAAACCGGTTTGGCTCAATGGATAGAGGGTTGGCTTGGGGACGGAAGGGTCCTGGGTTCGATTCCGGTCAAGGGCATGTACCTTGGTTGCGGGCACATCCCCAGTGGAGGGTGTGCAAGAGGCAGCTGATCGATGACTCTCTCTCATCGATGTTTCTAACACCTCTCTCCCTTCCTCTCTGTACAAAATTAATAAAGTATATTTAAAAAAAAAAAAAGAAGAAGATGGAAATTGACCATACTGTCACTATGCCAACCAGCCAATCAGGAGCAACTATGCAAATTAACCCAACAAAGATGACAGGTTAATTTGCATATACGGACACCACCCCCGCCACTCCAGGCCTCTGGGCAGCATGAGAAGGTGGAAAGGCAGATCCAGGCCACAGCAAAAAGACAGCTCTGGCCACAGCGAAGGTGGTGCCAACAGCCAGGGTAGGGAAAGCCCATTGTTGCATGAATATTTGTGCCCTTGACCGAATTGAACCCATAACCCTTCAGTCCCTAGGCTGACACTCTATCCACTGAGCCAAACTGACTAGGACAGTGGTCGGCAAACTGCAGCTTTTGAGCCATATGCAACTTGTTAGCTGCCATTTGCTGCTCTGTTCACTAATGAGTTTGCCAACCACTGGGATAGGGGCTTAATCACAAGGAACAGCAGCCTGTAATTATTGGAATCAGTGGTCGGCAAAATCATTAGTCAATAGAGTGGCAAAGGACCACTGGGCTAGGGCAACATTTACACTTTAACCAAATGTCTCTGGAAGCATTTTCCCATGTCTCATCTCATTTGATCCTCACAGAAGTCCTGGAGTAGGTAGAGAGGAGACTTGGTGGAATCCTATCCTCTTTTCATTAGTCAGGGAAAAGGAGATTTAGAAAGTTTAGAAACTTGACCCAACTGAAAGAATGGTGGACCCTGAAAATGACTTCAGGTTTTCCGAATATAGTCAGACACTGCTGCAGTTAAATATTTTATCCTTTGTTCTCCCCGTGTGATCTACAATAATCTGCTTTGTGTTGATATTTACTGCTGTGTTGCTGACAATTACCTAAGAGAAGTTGGGGTGCTTTACTGGGCTGGAAAAAGTTTAGCTAGTGCTTGCTTCAGCAGCACATATACTAAAATTGGAACGATACAGAGTTTAGCATGGGCCCTGCGCAAGGATGACATGCAAATTCAGGAAGTGTTCCATATTAAAAAAAAAGTTTAGCTAAATCAGAAAGCAGGTCTAATTAAGCAAGTTTATTCCATATGTACATGTAAAAGACTAAGTTGACTTACACATGAACCATATACATACATATATATATACGAAGCTCTTGCTGGCTCCAATTGCACATATGTGTTTTGATCTATTATTATTGATCATGAATTTGGTTGACACTTCCATCATAGAGAAACGGTGTATAGTCGAAACCGGTTTAGCTCAGTAGATGGAGCCTCGGCCTGCAGACTGAAAGGTGCCAGGTTTGATTATGATCAAGGGCATGTATCTTGTTTTGGGCACATCCCCAGTAGGGGTTGTGCAGGAGGCAGATTGATTTTTCTAACCCTCTATCCCTCCTCTTCCTCCCTGTAAAAAATCAATAAAATATATTTTTAAAAATTATTTCTTCTAATTACTTTTCTTTCAATGTGCACAAATTCGTGCACCAGGCCATTAGAAATGTATAAAATAAGGTGCAAAACTGCCATTCTCTGAAGCATTATATCAATGCACATTTTGCTTCCCTTGACAGTTTGTGTCAAATAAAACCACAAACATATATTTAAAGTTGCTTAGAGGTTGCTGACCTTTCAGACTTCATGGATCTCTCTCTCTCTCTCTCTCTCTCTCTCTCTCTCTCTCTCTCTCTCTCTCTCTCTCTCACACACACACACACACACACACACACACACACACACACACCTATCACAAATCCATTAATACAAATCCTCACAAACACTGTCACCAATTTTTAAAATTTGTGTGTTTGAATCTGATTGAGGAAAAAAAGGCACTCTGCTTTCTTCTATGTCTTTTCATAAATATGGGAAATTTATATTTTTTGTGAATTATCTATTCACATTATTTACACTTTCAATTAGATTAAATTTTTTTCCCTACCAGTTTGCCATAGCCATTCAAGTTTGTGGTTTTCTTTAGTCATACAATATTCCCCCACACATTATATTGCTAAATTTGTGAATACTTCCTAGGTATGTAATTTGTTTAGGAAAATGTTTTCCATCCCAAAACTGGCTCTTATTTTCTTTCTTTAAACGATTTTAAAAAAATATATTTTATTGATTTTGTAAAGAGAGGGAGAGAGAGATGGAGAGTTAGAAACATCAATGAGAGACAGTCATCGTTCAGCTGCCTCTTGCACACCCCCTACCAGGGATATGCCCGCAACCAAGGTACATGCCCTTGACCGGAATCGAACCCAGGACCTTTCAGTCCCCAACCTGATGCTCTATCCATTGAGCCAAACCGGTTTCAGCTGGCTCTTATTTTCATCCAATTCTGTATTTAGTATGCTTCATCTAGTTTTTTTGTTCTCCCCCAACTTTTATTATGAAATATTGCAGAGGAAGAAAAGTTGAAGGGTTGACAAATTATTGCAATGTTGCCATTTGTATGTCTCCCTCCTATACACAAAAAGTATACTTTCACCAAGTCCCCTGAAAATAAATCACAGGCACTTCAACATGCATTTTCTAATGAGAATATTATCCCACATAATCACATCTAGAAAAATGAACAATAATCCCACAATACAAATTTAATATAAAGTTCACATTCACAATTTCTTATACATGTAGGATTACCTTTTTTCTCCCCTACTAAATTGCTATTGAGGGGTATGACTTATGATATTTAATCTAACCCTGATTGTCATAGGCACTAAATAACAGTTGGCTGAATGTTTCAATAATTAAAAGGAAGCCACCCTTAAAGTACCATTTTTAGTGGTACACCTTCAAAAAAGGGGAAATTAAATTACTAGGTCTGTGATAATTTTTTCCCCTATATTCTAAGACACAGAATAGGATTGAATACAGTCATTAAAATTTATTTTAAAAAACTGTCACAACACGGAAATCTTTAAATGAGACAAACTAATTTCAAAGAGTACTGCATAAAACTTAACTAAATGCAAAAATATACTTTTTTCTAATTAAAAATAGCTTTTTAAACATTTTTCAAGAGAAGTAATTTTAAATATTACTACATGCAATAAACATTAATATTTCAAGAAAAAAATTTAAAATATTACCTAAACAAAAGTTGTAGGAAATATTAAAAATCTTGCAAACAAAAATGTACTTTTAAGTTCTGAGATCTTTTTTGGGGGATTGTTAATCCCCACCCAAAGATATTTTCCCACTGATTTTTTTTTATAGTAGGAGGGGGAGAGACACAGAGAAACATTGATGCGATACAGACACATTGATTGGTTGCCTCCCAGACCAGGGAGAGCAACATGCCCTTGACCGGAATCGAACTGGGATCCTTCAGTACATGGGCTGATGCTCTATCCACTGAGCCAAATCCATTAGGGCTCTGAGATCTTTTGATCCAAAGTTATAGCTCAAATAATGGACTAAAAGTTAATGCTTTAATGCTTTCTCTACAAACTCCACCATGACGAGTGTGAAAGGTCATTTCAATCACACTAAAAATTATCTACTAATCTGCCTTCCCCACAAAACAGAAAAATCCAACAAAGGAAGGACTTGACCTTAAAAAAGAAAAAGAAAAGGAAATCAAAGCCCTGGCCGGGGAGTGCAGTTGGTTAGCCCAGATGCCAAAGATTCGGGTTCCATCCGCAGTCAGGGCACATACAAAAACCAAGCAATGAATTTGCAAATAAATGGAACTATTCTCTCTCTCTTTCCTATCTATCTATCTATCTATCTATCTATCTATCTATCTATCTATCTATCTTCCATCCATCCATCCATCCATCCATCCATTACCAGTGCACAATTTAACAGGTGCCCCATACTAACAATTCTTAACTCAACAGGCAATATACTAGCTAAAGATTTTAACTCCCAGCTTAGTTAGTAGAAACCTCGAGCTTCTCAGCTTCAAGAAAAAAACACCAGCAGCAAATCGATTTGCAGATAGTGTGAAATCAGTTACTCAAGTATTCAGTAGGTTAAACCAAACAAGTTTAAGAAAGAAAACGGAAGAAACAGCGATTATCGTGTAGTCAGTCACAAATACGGAAAGTGATTCTGTCCCAACTTGGGAAATTCTTCCTAAATGAAAGGCCTACTGTATTTATTTCTTACTGATTTTGGAGAAACAAACATCCATTTGCCTCCCGCCACTTTTTGGTGAACAAGAAGCCATTCCAACCAATTGAACCTCGCCGGCCAGGGCTCAAAGGCCTACTCTACTTCAAGGGGAATGTAAATTGAATAATTTTTTTTTTTAAGTTGAATAATCTTAAATCCAGAGAGTACCAAAAACTAAACAAACTAACAAGCCAGAAGCCCATCCTGATTTAAAACATTTCAAAAATTGGCTTCATTATTTCCCAGGTAAAACCCCCGCAGGTTTTAAGCACTCTTTTTAATGTAAACCATTTACATTACATTTACATGCAATTTTTATCTCTTCCACGTTCTCAGGGAGTGCGCCGATTCCTGAGGGCCGAGGAGAGCTCCGGGGCGATCTAGGCTGGACACTCGGCAAGCAACCGAAAGCCTGAGGCTGCTCCATTCAGGCCTAAGACCCCGGCTGGGAAGAAAGGGCTCGGTCCTTACGTCCACCTCTAGGAAGACAACAGGGATCCCCGAGCAACCCAGCCCGAAACGCCAGGCCTCGGCGCCGGCGGCGGCGGCGGCGCGGCCTAGATTGGGCGGGAGCGGCGGGCGCCGGAGGCCGTTAGCAGGCCGCGCACGCGGCTTTCGCGCCTCTTGCGCCTCCGGCAAGTGGGGCCGCCCGGCCTCCCGTTTCCGGCCCAAACCGTTCCTCCACGGCCCCCACCCGGTCTGGTCACCTCCTCACCTCACGAGCTTCATCCTCACGAAGATTTCTGTGCGAGAGTGCACAACACCCGACAACCGTGGGCCACCGGACCGGAGTATGAATGGCCGGAAACGCCTACTCTCAGGCCGCCGCCGACGTAAAGAGCGCGCGGGACGCTGCGAACGCACAGCGGAACCGCCGAGGCCGCGCTGGGGCGCACTCTCTTCCGGCCGCGAGGAGCGCCGCAGCGGACCCTGGCGGCTGGAGGTGTGACTTGCAGCTGCTGCGGGCACTTGAGACCGCTGAAGGGCGTTTAGGGGCTGATGTGGAAGGAAATCTCCTCTGAGAGGGAGATTTAACAAAAATTAAATTCAATCCGTGGGCCCTTCCGCACAGCAGTCCACCTCGTGGTATGCCGCACCAAATCTACCCGAGAGCGAAAGTAAGTTCTGAGAGAAGCCCAAAGGATTACTACGCTAATTCTATTACAAAGCCAGGAACATTATGGAATGTACCTGAAGAAAATCACTCAATTTAGCTAGTTATTTTCACTTTAAATTCTGGTCACCAACTTCTAAAGGGTACCCTTCCCTACCCAGATATTGTGTTATGCTTCTCTAAAGAGCTAAAAAACAAAACAAAACAAAACAAAAAAACACACAACTATTTTATACCTTATTTCTTCTCTTCCTCTCCAGCCTTTTACAGTTCAAGTCCCTCTCCCAAATCACTCTCCCCTAATGTTTCCTACCTCTTTGCGAAAACTGAGTCCATCCTTCTGCTTTCCTTCCTGTTACAAGGGTAGATGTACAACATTATTGCTTCTTTCAAAGGCAAATTCTTCTGTTGTATGAATCCCATCTCTCATTTTCTTTAAAATATACTTTATTGATTTCTTACAGAGGGAGAGGGACAGAGAGCTAGAAACATCGATCAGCTGCCTCCTGTACACCCCCTACTGGGGATGTGCCCACAACCCAGGTACATAACCTTGACCAGAATCGAACCTGGGATCCTTCATTTCGCAGGCCAACGCTCTATCCACTGAGCCAAACCGGTCTCACCCATCTCTCATTTTCTTAAACATTTCATTCATTCAATTATCCCCTTTGAACTTGAATCATTTATTTCTCCCTGTCTACTGGATTTTTTCCATCAGCATACAAATTTATCTCACAAGCAAAACAAAGCTCTCTGTTGTAGCATCAGCTACTGCCAGATTTCTTCCACAGTCAAACCTCTTGAATGAACTGTCTCTGCTTGTTTTTATCACCTCCAAATTGACTCTGCAAACTACCCTGAAAATGCTTTTATAAAGATTTTCAAAAACCTCCAAGACAAACTTTTTCCTCATCTTACTCAACATATCAGAAGCATTCAACATAGACACTCCCCTTTTGAAACTCTCTCCCCGTTTGGCTTCCAGGATGCCAAGCACACCTGGTTTCATTCCCATTCCACTCTTTTTAGGTGTCAGCTGCCACTTCCTCTATTGAGCCATTCATGTTGGTGTGCTTCAGAGATTACCCTAGATGTAATCTCCTTATGGATACTTCCTCCTTAAGCCTAGATGATCTCCTCCAAAACCATGGCTTTAATTTGTATCTTGAAGCCTGAACTTCATCTTTTATCCTCGGAACTCATGAATGCCCATCAAACCTTAATGTGCAGCCCTGGCCAGGTGGCTCATTCGGTTGGAGCCAAAAGGTTGCAGGTTCCATTCCTGGTCAGGGCACATACTTAGGTTTTGGATTTGATCCCCAGTTGGGGTGTGTTTCAGAGGCAACTGATGGATGTTTCTCTCCCTCCCTCTTCTCTCTCTCTCCTTCCTTTCTCTAAAACCAACAAAAACAGTCCTCAGGTGAGGATTCAAACAAACAAACAAAAAAACCTCCAAGGGCATAAAGACTCGATGAAACTTTAAATGAAAATTCTGATTCAGTTAGTGTGGAGTATCAAATTCTGCATTTCTAATGTTAAATGGAATAAAAAACAGGCTCCAAATGCAGTAACTTGTGTTAGCAGCCTATACCAAACCTAGATTTAATATTTGATATAATTGGCAGTTTCAATCTCTCCCAGAAACATAACCTTAGCCAGTGTGGAATTTCTCGTCACGCACTTAGCAGTCTGTCATCCAGGCTCTCTCCCTTCTCCCTGGATAGAAGAGGCAATCTACATGTTAACAACCCCTTCACTTCTCTTCCCCCAAAGATGCCCTTCTTCTTTTCTTTCATTAAAGCTTCCTTGCCCCAACCTGCTCTTATATTTTGTAGCCCTCCTAGTTGCTAAATGGAATGCTGCCTGATTCATGAGTTGCTTAAGAAAGCCAATTAGATCTTCAAATGTACTTGGTTGAATTTTGTTGTTTAACACTAACATGCCTTCAGTTGATGATGACAATTGATTAGCAAGGCTATAATGAACAGTTGTGTGCTATCTTCTCAACACCTATCCCCTTCTCTTCACAACAGTTTCCAGTAATCATCTGGGGGTTCATGTGGTCCTCAGGAAGTTGGCTCTACCCTTATGTCAATAATCACATTCTATTACTTGTCCACAGTGAGCTTGGGATGTAAACTGATCAATCAAACCTTAGAAGGGGAATAATCTTTCCTTTTGGATATGAATGGAGAAGTAGTTATTGGAAATTCGCTAAGAGAATAACCAATCTTAAGAAAGTTTTAAGCCCTGGCCCACAAGTGTGGCTCAGTTGGCTTGGTGCCATCCCATATTCTGAGAGGTTGCTGGTTCGATTCCAAGTCAGGGCACCAGCCTGGGTTTCAGGCTTGATTCCCAGTAGGAGGCTTGCAAGAGACAGTGAATCAGTGTTTCTCTCTCTTCCTTCTCCCTTTTTCTTTAAAATCAATAATAATAATAAAAAAACAGCCGGGACCGGTTTGGATAGAGCGTCAATGGATAGAGCGTCAGCCTGCGGACTGAAAGGTCCCAGGTTCGATTCCGGGCAAGGGCATGTACCTTGGTTGCGGGAACATCCCCAGTAGGGGGTGTGCAAGAGGCAGCTGATGGATGATTCTCATCGATGTTTCTAACTCTCTATCTCTCTCTTCCTCTCTGTGAGAAATCAATAAAATATATTTTAAAAAAATAATTTAAAAAAGCATATTTTGAAAATAAAAGTTTTAAGACAACAAAACTGATATTAATGAGCCCCTGGATTAAAAATAGTGACTAAATGTGGGTGTTCAAATTAAAATTACATAAAATTAAAAAAATCAGTCTGGCTGGTGTGGGTCAGTGGTTGAGCATTGACTTATAAATCAGGAGGTCACAGTTCAATACCAGGTCAAGGGTTGTAGGCATCATCCCCAGCAGGGGGCATGCAGGAGGTAGCCAATCAACGATTCTCTCTCATCATTGATGTTTCTGTTTCTCTCTCCCTCTACCTTCCTCTCTGAAAAGAAAAAAAAAAAAGAATTAAAAATTCAGTTCCTCAGCTACAATGATCACATTTTATGTGCTCAATAGCCATATGTGGCTATGGTTACCCTTCTGGACAGTTCTACCCTCATATAGAACATTTCTACCCTCAAACAAAGTTTGATTAGACAGTGCTGCACTGTTAATCCTCATATTTGTTTCCTTGTTTGCATTTACTTATTTGTTTACTTATTTATTGCCTGACACAAGAATATAAACTGCCTAAGGCAGTGGTTCTCAATCTTCCTAATGCCACGACCCTTTACAGTTCCTCATGTTGTGGTGACCCCCAACCATAAAATTATTTTCATTGCTACTTCATAACTGTAATTTTGCTATGTTTATGAATCATAATGTAAATATCTGTGTTTTCTGAAGGTCTTAGGTGACCCCCGGGAAAGGGTTGTTCGACCCCCAAAGGGGTCGAGACCCACACGTTGAGAACCGCTGGTCGATTCACTTCTGCATTCCCATCATTTAAAATATTTAAAAATTGCCTTGCACACAATGTGCCCTCAAATATTTGTGAAATAACTGAATGTCTCTCCCATTAGAATATATGCTGCACGGCCCAAGTGCCCATTTGTAGATGAATGGATAAAAAAAGCTGTGGTACATTACATAATAGAATACTACTCAGCCATAAAAAAGGAAAGTTTACCTTTTGCAACAGCATAGAGAGGTGTGGGAAGTACTAAGCTAAGTGAAATAAGTCAGTCAGAGGAAGATTAATACCACATGATTCCACCTATACGTGGAATATAATGAACAAAATAATCTTAGAAACAAACTTATAGCTGTCAGAGGGGAAGGGGGTAGGGTGCTGAGTGAAAAAGGGGGAAGGGATTAAACAAACAAACAAACAAACACAACAAAAAACAAACAAACCCAAAAACCCCAGAAAAAAAACTAATTGACAGACAGCAGTATGGTCGTTACGGGAGGAAAATGTGAGTAGAGGGTGGCAGGAAAGGGTACTGGGGGGATAAATGGTGATAGAAAGACACACGACTTGGGGTGGTAAACACACACTACACTATACAGATGATGAATTATAGAATTGTACACCTGAAACCTCTATCAGAATCATTGATTGGCTGCCTCTTACATGCCCCCTACTGGGGATTGAGCCCACAACCTGGGCATGTACCCTTAACCTGAATCAAACCCAGGACCCTTCAGTCCACAGGCCGATGCTCTCTATCCACTAAGCCAAACTGGCTAGGGCTCTTGTTTTTATTTTCTACCTTTAATTTTTTTTTTTTTTTTTTTTTTTTTTTTTAGAATTTTTATTCTCATAAGTCTGTCCCGAATTAAAGTCAACAAGAGTGATGTAGCCGAAACCGGTTTGGCTCAGTGGTAGAGCGTCGGCCTGCGGACTGAAGGGTCCTGGGTTCGATTCCGGTCAGGGGCATGTGCCTTGGTTGCGGGCACGTCCCCAGTTGGGGGTGTGCAAGAGCCAGCTGGTCAATGTTTCTCTCTCATCGACGTTTCTACCTCTCTATCTCTCTCCCTTCCTCTCTGTAAAAAAATCAATAAAATATTAAAAAAAAAAAAAAGAGTGATGTAACAAAGGAAAACCCTTGATTTGTTGCTAGCAGGAGGGTCAGTC